TATATTGTAGTTATACACCAACCTGGCTATCATCACCCAATTTTTGATGTTTAGATCTTCGAAACTCTCAGGCCGAAGGCCAGAGTCTGGAGGCAGCGAAATCTGAGAAATCTGATGTTGGTTAAAATTTGTAAAGCCATGATTTATATAATGCTAGTTACACCACCATTTTATGGTCTCAAGTATGTCTCAAATATGTGTTCGGATCCCCTACTAAACCATAGATACCATAGTTACTATATTTTCTGGTGGCTGTTCAATTAACGATTGAGAAAATGCAACGCAACATGATTCTACCAGCAACCTCCAAAAAGAGTTCAGAGCTGATTGCTGATGTTGCAGTATATTTTTTTGGGAGGTTGCTAATATGTCATTGTGCGCCATGGTCAAAACATGGTTAGTTCATTCCTACAAGTTCCAGGATGGTCATCACTCCATATTCATTTATCCGTTCTAATCCCATTCTATAGATGACCATAAGCCATGTCGAATGTTGATAAATCTGATCCACCATCCCCAATTTCACTGAAAGAAACAGTTGGCTTTAAACATACGAATAACACATCAAAATATATGGCCGGTTTGTGACATTACTTTACTAAGATTACATGCTTTCTTCAGCTTCCGGGAAAAAAAAAAGTCACCAGTGGTGGTGAAAACCTCAGGAAGATCCCAGCAGGTTTGTCATCATTGTTGGATAAAATCAAGCTAAATCCAATCTTTTGTTGATTCAAAGCAGATTTTGCTGATTTCTCAAATTTTCCCAGTGAAATCTCCAAGTTCTTTGATTTAGGCCCAAAAATTTTGAATTTTGATGGTTAGTTAAATCATGTTGAATCGACTCCCAATCTGTTGGTGGTTTGGAACATGAATTTTATGACTTTCCATATATTGGGAATGTCATCATCCCAACTGACGAACTCCATCATTTCTCAGAGGGGTTGGTCAACCACCAACCAGAAAGATTAATCATAGATTAACCATAGATTAACCATGATAAACCAACCAACCAGAAATTCTTGATCATTTCTGATACTTCGATCCCAATTTTTTCTGGGCGAATCTCCTTGTTTTTCTCGAAACGTTGCACGGCACGGCAGGCAATGCCACGGCTGGCGTTTCCAGTCGGTGCATTTGGCGTCCCAAGTGTCGCTTGAAAAAAAAAGGGGACCCGGTAGATGCGGTAGAAAAACCCGGTGTTCTATGAGCAGAAAACTAGGGACCCTCCTAGAAACTAACATAGATACCCTGCGAACCCAAACCCTGGAAATTTGTAGGGTCTGACTCGAAACCTCGGGTATGTTTGACGAAATGAAAATACCTCGGGTTTCTTACGCAAACCTCGGTTTTTCTTTTTCAAACCCGTACTGAACCCGTATTTAACCCGTATTAACCCCGTATTTTACCCGTACTAACCCCGTATTTTAGTACTGGTTTGGAAAACCTCGGGTTTCTGCCAGAAACCTCGGGTTTTTCCACTGACCCTACGTTTTTTGCGGGTTTGGGTTCCTAAGGTATACATAGATGTGGAATATCGTCATTTTCGGTAAATCATATGAATAAATGGCTCATTTTCCATTGGTTTACCCTAGGGATGCGAACGACCGTCCCATCCGTTTTCGTGAGTTGCCGGTTGGCTCCCTTTCAGCATTTGTTCCATGGGTTTGCTGGAAGGTGCTCTCAGTAGGGCAGTTCTCCATTGCCATGTTTGATCACCGGAGAGCATCTTGTGAATTAGAAGGTATCAAGAACAGTTCGATTCATGCTCTAATTGATTGAAATCTATGCAATCTATGTAGCGGACGGATCTGACTTCACAAGTGATTCTGTGGATTATGTAAGTGTGATGTGCATCGCGCATTGAGATTACCGATTTCGACTTTCACTGGATGAACTCATTACTGACTCCAGCCGAAGCGTCAGCGGCCGTATAGGCTCCTCATTTCTCCGACTTTGCCCAAAGTTTTGGTCCTGTCCACAGTGCCAGCTCTGGATTCACTGGATCAAATTTCGTCTCGTGAAGAAACATCCACCAAATATTAAAGTGTAGCAATTCACTGGGCAACATCCAATCCATGTCGTTTCTGTTCATTTATATGTCTATGTGTCTAAATAATATGTGTAAAGATATATATATATGCATTTGGATCAGCGAATGGATTTTCAAAGGGATATTTGAGGCTTGCTATTTTCTATTTTAATTTTATTGGGACATTGATTTTTTTGGGACATGAATACCGGGCTTCAACGGACTTCAATGACTTCAAAGTCCCTGTGGGTTGATGATTCTATGGGATACCCAGCTGGTAAACATAGCTATTGAAAATGGCCCAGTCAAGTGGATTTACCCAGCTGGAACATGGTGATTTTCCATCGTTTTTTGTTAACGTTTACCAGAGGGTAACACTACTCAATATATTGGGGATTATGAATCATAATCCAATAGGGGAATCCCTATAAACCAACCAGTATAATGGAATGATAGAGGGATTTTGAACACTGCTCAAGTGTTAAAAGTTGTTGCCCTTTGGTAGTCAAACGTGGCAATGAGAAATATTCTATAATTAATTGGAGTTTTTTTGCTGGGAAAATCAACTATAAATGGTGGAATTTCAAATTTTGATGTTTGATTACCAAAGGGTAAAAACGCATTCATTTCTTGGATGTGCATACCAAATGGTATGTGTTTAATTTGGCAATGATATAACTCAGTTCTCAAGCTCAAACGAACGTATTTACATTGCATATAACAAACACATTAGGTAAGTTTTTTTTGGATATACTGGAAAAAACAGATGTGCTGTTGATCAGTTCCGAAGTGACATGCATATATCCCAGTATTGTATATAGGCATCGGCGGCCCAGCATGCCCCACTTCCTCCCCAGGTGAAACCCTTTCTAAACCCAAAGTTACACCCACGTGTTGTACCCAAAACAATCCACTGATTCCCCTTCCCTCGAGGCAGAAGTCAGAGCAGTGGGTCTGAAATGCGACCGAATCGGAATGAACATCGCTGTCTGCGGAGTGAACTGCCAAGGTTGGTTGAATTGTTGTTTCAACAAAAAGGTAAGAGTGTCGCGGTAAGTTTGGGGTTGCACTGTTCAGAGCTATTTGGGTATGGGTCAAAATTAGGTACCCCAAAATTATGGATGGTTAATACTAAACTAGACATTCACATCTGTGGTCCCACATCGGTCTTCCATTTTGACCCACATCCATTTAACTGATTTGGCGATTTGGTCAAACCTTTTTATTCTAGTGACGATCCCATTCTATGAACAGAACAGAATGCATCATGAGCTCCCAGACACGCCCTCCTGTGTTGCTGACAACAGGGTTGCCAAAAAACTATGATGGCATCAGGCTCTAGATCACTAAAAATCATGTTATAACATCCTATAACTATCATGTTTTTTTTCGGTGGATGAAGATGCAGAAACATCAGATACGTATTTTTAATGTTTCGTGTTGAGGCCACAACGAAAAACATCTCTAGGAACCGCCCGCCTGAAACCCGTGTCCGTCTCGTCGGACCTGCGAAAACAAAGGTGTCGGTGTTGGAATGGTCGCCTGGACGTGGCATTGTGATGATTCTAAAAGTTAGTTGTTTAATGGTGATTTAATAGTGATTAGTAGTGATTAATGGGGATTAATAGTGATTGATGGGGATCTGGTTGTTTTTTTTTCCAACATGAGTTTTATGACTTTTCATATACTGGGAATGTCATCATCCCAACGGACTTTCATATTTTTCAAAGGGGTTGAAACCACCAACCAGCTATGAACTTATTAGATAATATGAATGATATGGAGATGATATAGTATAAAGATCCCAGTAGTTTAGTGATGTGTGGATATGGATTTTTTCCGATGTTAGGCTTAGTAACTTCCTCTGAAAATAGACCAGAATCCCCATGGCTTTACTGAGTTTACTGTCCCTTAAAATGCACAGCATCACCAGCTATCCACCGGCGTAACTTGGAGGATCCAGGATCTGGGAGGGGAAGCTTTCGATCATACTTGCAATGACATCGAATGGCTATGGTTTACCCTCTGGTAATGACTAACGTAGCTATTGAAAATGGCTATTTATAGTGGATTTTCCCATTAAAAATGGTGATTTCCCATATATATATATATACAATGTGAGGCCCCCCAGTTATAAGTTGGTTTAGATTCGCCCCAGTAACTAGTTCGTTATAAATACCATAAACCATAGTTATTGGAGTTATAAACCAACTTAGCTATCTGGGGGCCTGACATTGTAGATATGTAGATTACACATACAGAGAGTGTATACATATATACAAGGAGATCATATGCACAACAGGTTTATACCATTGATCCATGAGTATACTCCGATTCAACCCTTAGTTACCCCAGGGCAGCTGCAGCTGCGTTACAAAAGAAGCTAAGTGAAAGAAAAGGTCATCAGTTGGGTAAAATCAGTGAGACATAGATATAACTATGTACATATCTAAATATGCATTTACATCTCAAGTCGTCGACATTATCTTGATATTGAGTTATATTCATATATTAATATATGTATATACATGCGTCATCCACTCATAGATTTATATATTGATATTTGTGGGTACACATGCGAACAACATCTGATGATAAATATGATATATATTGATATATGAGAAACACAACAATAGACCATCCAGAGGTTCATGGCATCGGGTACACCCTAGCGGGATGCTGTTTATTATGACTGCCACTCACGGCTGGTTGAACGGAGAATCCCATCCTCAATCAACCAGTACCAATGGGAGGACACAGGGCTTTGAACGTTTCTCATACTGTATATATCTTAATTTGTCTACATTGTGCATATATATATATATACACATGTACTTGCATATATTTATATATCCATTCATAGAGTCATAGATTGATATACTGTATATGTTTATATTACATATGTATATACCTAGTTTTATTCACATCATATGTGCATACACATGCGAACTTCGAACATCTGATAACTGGTTTTTGATATACATATGGCCATGGGATGGAAGTGGCGTGCGGCGATGTGAGAAACTCTCGCGGAGAGGAGCGGAGCTGTTGGTCAACCCCTAAACATTGATCTGGGTGGATTTCTCTCAGGGCTCTCAGTTTACAACATGTTTAACATACCCAAGTTATGCCAAATTTACAGATCTTTTTTTTGGTTGCAGAATGATCCAAATTGACTCTTTTTGTTGGGGGATGGGTGGCTAAGCCACCAAAGTAGAAATAGATGACAGCGTTTGGGCTGGGATAAATCGAGCCTGATTGTCAAAGCCGACCCACCATACCCAAGGGTCTTCTTGGGAGGATATAGAATATTGATATATTTAGTATAAGATAATGAGATAATCCGTATACCGCAATAATTCAGACAAGGTGTATGCAATATATATTTTGTATATAGACATAGATTGCTCTTTTTTGTGTTTTGATCATCTTACTGGTGCTAAACGCAGGGAATGGATGGCAATGGGGGTTTCTGGGATTATTGATAGTTTGCCAGTGGATCATTCCCTCACATTATACGTTTATCACCAGTAAGTCATCTATTCGAATGATGCATCCATTCATCACTGATCATCTCTCCTGGTGCGAGGATGGCAGATGACTCCGGGGAGGATATTTCCGGGACTGAGGCGCCGATGGGCTGAGCTGTCATGGAATTTCGAGATTGTTGAGGAGTTGAGGTTATGCAAAGTGGGATTTAATGGATTTAACATCGATCTTTTCACATGACAAACATGGGGGTTTGACCTACTACCACCCGGGTTCACCCCGGATGTGCTTATGGTTCACCCCAAGTGTTCAAGGGTTGCTCGCAAAAGTGATTTTTGTGAGATATTCATAGATATTCGTTCCCAAATCACCTCAAAAAAAACTAAACCACATAAACAATAGATGTTGATTTATCAACTCACCTCATTTCTTATCCCTGCTTGAAGAATACATCATCCCAGAAAAAAATATTCCAGGAATGCGGAGGAGTTCTTGCTGGAAAATCCCGCCCATGGAGGTTTATACCGGGAAATCATCGAAGTAAATGGTCGATGTTCAAAAAATCCACTGCAAATGGAGGATTAAAGTGGAAAATATCGTGAAAATCAACTATTAATGAATGTTGATGCACTATGAATCAACTATTAGTGACTTTCAACAATGAATCTAATGAATGTTGAAAATTGGCCCCCACTTTATACCGGGAAATCATCGAAGTAACTGGCTGATATCGATGTTCAAAAAATCCACTGCAAATGGAGGATTAAAGTGGAAAATATCGTGAAAATCAACTATTAATGAATGTTGATGCACTATGAATCAACTATTAGTGACTTTCAACAATGAATCTAATGAATGTTGAAAATTGGGCCCACTGGCACCGCATCCAGCCACGACTGGCTGATATCTTTTTTATAATACCTACGATTAACCAATAATGCAGGACAGATGATGAATTTGCTAAAAAAAATGAGCATTAACAAATTAGTCGCCGCTTAGCTTTAGCTCAAGTAATGTTCAGCAGACATGCCCTTATTGGATGATTTTGCAGTACAAAGGTATCTCTGATTTGCTGAAGACGGTTGTTTATTTTCCCGATTACCCTCCAGTAATCAAACATTACAATGGAAAATCCCCCATTTAGTTGATTTTCCTAGCTATAAACCTTCATGATTTATAGGGCATATTCAATTGCCATGATATTTGGAGGGTATTAAGTATTAACCAATATAAACCATTCTTCTCCCTAGCAAACCTTATAAAAGCATATACACATACATAAACCATATATTTATTCTATTCGATCATATTTTTAGGCATATAAACCATTGTTCATCCACGGGGAAAATCGGGAATAGCAGGCCCAAGCGGTTCCGGTTCCCGTGTCGGGGACCTTATCGCGGAGAGATACCAAGGATGCCAAGGATGTTTTTTGATAGCCCGATCGTCCGATGAAACGTTGCGATATAGATGATGTTAGATGATATGATATTAGATATTTCTAATATATAGATGATATTAGATGATATCAGATGACTTGTACTAGATAGTTGCCACTACTAGTAGCGTGTGAAAAACAGTAAGATTGCGATACATTGCATGAAGGCTATTTGGAGATACCCAGGAATTGAATGCATTGCTGGAAAGCTGCCACGGCAAGTATCAACTCTTGACAACTGGAATTGGTTCTAAAAGAAAACGACATGTTATTAGTTAATTTACTGTTGATATAAGTGTCAACAACAGCAAGCAGTAAGTACCAGTATCAACTTTACTGACTGTCAACTTGCAATTGCTATTCAACGTTTTATCATCAACAAGCCCCCCTTGGATTCGGGGTGTTGGGAGCAACCTTGAGATACTGCTATTTAACTTCCTCAACCAAGTATCAATTTCAGTTATCAACTATGAAATACCAACAAAGTATCAACTTCAGCATTCAGAGATTTGGGTTGATAAATTTCTGTATTCTGTTATTGACCTATTCAATCTATTCAATGATTCTTATAGTATATTATAGTACAATTGCAAAAAGACTTCAAGTTGATATTCAATACTATTCAATGCTATAGCTGCTATATACATCTTGCACTTTCCAACTGATATCAATGCTATATATGATATAGTAATGAATATCCAACTAATATCCAATATATTCAATATATCCAATGATTGGTTCAACTTTCCAACTGGAACAAACGCGCCCGGCGACCCAGGCACAGCAGCCGTCCCGCCTCGCCCCCCGACGCCACCTCCGTCACCGCCGCGGAGACCGCGGAGCTTCCGGCGGAGGTTCCGGCGCCCGACGGCGACGCGGGGATTGCGACGGCCGATGGCGAGGGGCTGGCGCTGGAGACACAGGACCCGGGGTGGGCAACCCTTGATCATCCATAATTCACCCATAATTCATCCATAATTCATCCATAATTCATCCATAATTCATCCATAATTCATCCATAATTCATCCATAATTGTCAATTATGATGGTCATTGAAAAAATATTCCCAAAGACCTTGGCGTTTTGCCAAGAAGAAAGCCATTTTTTGGGATGGTTTATGGTGAATCCCACATGACATAGATATCTTTGGTCACCTGAATATAGAGAGATGATATGCTACAATGGTCTAAATCCAAAGTTTGGGGTATGGACCAAGACCCAATGGGCCCATTGGGTGATCCTGAAGGGTGCGCACCCTCAGGAGCGAAGGAAGGCTCCGGAAGGACTTGTTTGGGTGGTGATGCACAACTCCAAAGCCTTGGGCCGTTTCCAACATGTCAAGGTGCGACTAGAGATTGGGGGGCAACCCCTGGAGCAATGATGTTCAGCAAGTTATGTTTGATCTATGTTTGGCTAAATCCAAAAAAAAAACCAAAGAATAGACAAATGAGACATCTGGGAATGTGAGGCGTTTGTGATCGTCGTTTGACTTTCTGCGGACACCGAGGGCTGAGAATTTCATGATCTATACACTGTCCGCAGAAGGATAGAGAGTCTGAATCACCATAAACATACAGCAGCAGATAGGGAAGAACCTTTTGATCCTTCTACGGACCGCTATAAGGCCCAAATTTGATGGTTTAATCAGTAAAAAAACTCGAAACAATTGAACATGACAAGCATATACAAACATTATGAATCCTGGAATACCCCACGTTTGCAGCATAGACAATAGAATTGTTTGTAGTACTCGCCCGACTTACAGGGCTGGGTCACAGCTGCAATTTGCAACATTGACTGGGACCATGTGTCAAGAGAGTACGCATTTCTTAAATGTTGTCTGCTTGGTGGTTTGGAACATTTTTTATTTTTCCATTTGGAAATTTCATCATCCCAACTGACAAACTCCATCATTTTTCAGAGGGGTAGGTCAACCACCAACCAGCTATATAAGTAACTAAGTATGATAATCAATGGGATTTTGCACCATATTAAACCATACTAACCATATATTTCGGGTAGGCCAACCACCAACCAGTTGTTTTTCTGTTTCTCATCGCTTTCTTCGTACGCAGATAGTTCGGAGGGTCGACTTCCAAAAGTCCCCGATGGCAGGGCGAAAGTACTGTCCAACCAGTTCCGGATTCACCTGGAAGAAACATTCTGAAAGCGAGGAAAATTCCATGATTTTCCCATAGTTTTCCCATATTTTCCCATAGTTTTCCCATATTTTCCATTATTTCCCTATATTGTCCCATAGTTTTCCATAGTTTTTCCATAGTTTTCAATAATAAGATGGGCTAAATTCTCCCCGCATTGAAAATTAGATGTTATCCCATTGATATCCATCAATGAATCATAGACATATACCGGATACCATATTGGCAACTTCAATCAAGCACGCTCATAGAACGGTTAGTTTAATTGATGGCCCCCCTGTTGCTTGCTCTAGTCATATCCAGCCGATAAAACGGTGGGTTTAATACAAATTGATAACCCAATCTTTCTATATCCAGTTCTATACCTCAGTTATATATCCTTAGTATCCTCTATTCTATCCCCATCAAATTCTATCCCTTCATCGCGCAAGTTCAGAACAGTTTTGTTTTAAGTTTTAACATATACCTTTTTACCATGCCTAGGAGTATGGCTAAGATTTTGTCCGAAAATTAAAACGTATATCAAGTTATATCCTTAAAACCCCATTTCTACCCGTAACATGGTCAGCTTCATGCCCCATCCAATGTATCTGACTCCAGTAAGAAAATCCAGTTCTATCCATTTCTATATATATATATACATGGTCACCTTGAATATGATTATCATTGAATCATTATTCATCCATCATGTTTGATATATATATATATATATATGTGGGACACGAGGGAAATAAATAAATATATATATATATTTGGGTGTATATGTATATATATATATATATTTGGGTGTATGTATATATATATATATACGTATATATATATACCTATATTCTGAATATCATAGAAATCCATTTGCATTGCCGAGTTTCAGTGTGCCCAGGTGCTGGTGCCCAAAGAGCTGACCCTCACAGAGCTCCGTCACTTTCTCTGTGGCAAAGTAGGCGCACAGCGACCGCCACGTGGAGTAACTATGGATCAACTATGGATTACCCATGGTTTTATATGGTTTTATATGGTTTTATATGGTTTTATATGGTTTTATATGGTTTTATATGGTTTTATATGGTTTTATATGGTTTTGTATGGTTTTGTATGGTTTATATGGTTTTACGTGGTTTTATGTGGTTTAATAGGGATTAAGAGGGATTAACTATGGTTTACCTGTGGATTAATCGTGATTCCAATGCATGAAAGAGATATGATTCATGACAGTCAAACCATTGGTCATTAAGAAAGTTAGTTAATACTGATATATATATATATAAATATATATTATATATCCACTTAATAACTATATCCATATATATAAATCTGGTTGGTGGTTTGAAACATTTTGTATTTTCCATTTTATATATGGGATAATCCTTCCCATTGACGAACTCATATTTTTCAAGATTGTTATTGCACCACCAACCAGATATGTATATCAATGATGTTCCATGATCAATATCCCCATTAATATACCCTCTGGTAATTTCACATAGCTATTGATAATGGCCATTGAAATAGTTGAATTTCCCATGAAAAATGGTGATGTTCCATAGTTTTTTGTATGTTTACCAGAGGGTATCTCCTAGTAAATCCATTCAGATCCTATTAATTCCTATTAAGTCACCATAAAATCCCATTAAGTCACCATAAAATCACCATATAAGTTGGTTTATAAGCCCCAGTAACTATAGTTATAAGTACCATAAACCATAGTTATTGCTGGGTTGGGACCGCTGAACTCGAGCTCCACAGGTTGTCCCTTCAAAGAGCTCCACATCGAGGTCCCCTCGTGGATCTGGGGACCGTCAGATCGGAACGTGTCGTTGAAACGTTGTTTTTAATAAGCTTTGATAGGTTATATAAGGTATAATGTAAGGTATATAAGTTATATGAATTCTAAGTGATATGATTAGATTATACATATTTATACATGTTATATAAGTTCTAAGTTATATATATATACAGTACAAGTATTCCCTATATTGTGGATTAATCCAATGGAGCAGCCATTGGCCACGATTTGTCAAAAACCAATGACCTGAGGAGACTCCACACCGATTTGAACGCAAAGACATATGGAAGTTATCTGACTTAAACTGTACGATAATACTAAGATATCGTAAGAACATATAAGATATTATAAGATATTACATGTTCTTATAAGATAAGGTATAAGAAATCACAACTTACTATAATATATTATAAGATCTTTTAAACTATTATTATAGAATATCAATAATAGAAAATATAGGATGTTGCAATATAAGATATTGTAAATGGTAATTTTAAGATTTGTATGTATATTTGCAATTATACACCACCACATTTGGTCCGCTTCCAGCACGTGCGCCAGATTGAAGGGAAACCTATGTGGGCCGGGCGAGAGATGCCATTGATTGAAGTGGAAGATCGAGATTATCGCATCAGATGGTGCGCAACGTCTCTGGGTTTTGCATGATGTTGGATGGCAGGTTGTGTGGTATACTATATATATATCAACAATAATAATGATGATAATATATGAAATGATAATAATTATAATCCTTTGGGTGTTGTTAAATAATCCCTTCTCCCTAATATCACTAACATAGTTGGATCCATATCATCATATTCCCTAGAGACCCCAAATGTTTAGTACAAACATCACATCTTAGGACGGACGGAAAGAAACACACGACGGGGATCTCTTGGTGGCGTCGCGGGCGAAGGGTGAACCGAGTCGCCAAACTGATGCAAAGCAAACAGCGCCTCGGTGAATCACTTCGACGTGGGGAATTCCAATGAATGTCAAGTCCGGAATGACAACATATGACAACCGGCCGGTTTATTAATCAGGGTATTCCCCCAATAGTCATGATCTGATACTTCGTAGCTTCCCAAAACGGCCGGGCTAGGGATTGATGAATCCTGGGTTGGCATTAATGACCTGGAGTATAAGTCCACTAAGCAGTTCCTAATGTTGCTATGAGGATGGCGTATTTTGACCTTTCCGGGGATGTTTTGGGTCTAGGTAAATATACCATCACCGTGAATGCTACGGCTGCTTCGGCAGAAAACCTTTGTCAATCGCCCAATTATGGTAAACATGATATGATCACCCCCCAACATTCCCAGACTCGGTTTCAGAGAAAAAGATTGCATCAACTATAGGTAGTTAAAACATGTTAAAAGCTGCAATTTCTCTGATGTTTACTACCATTTCAGCCTTAAATCAACCCGTTGAAACCGGTTTTCTCCGGCCATCCGGGCATCTCTCGGAGTTCTCGGTGGTCGAGGATCGGTGGAATCAATGCCGTCAGCTGGGAGCAGGGACGTGCGAGACCCCAAGCGGCGCGCTGGATGGTTGTTTGATGGGAGAATTACCGAAAATATATCATGGATGATTTGGGGTACCCTATTTGTGGAAACCCCATATATATATATTAATATATTTATTTATTTATACATACACATACTGTATATAGATAGATAGATAGATAGATAGATAGGTAGGTAGGTAGGTAGATAGATAGATAGATAGATAGTCATCCCAAATAGATTGGAAACGTAATTCATATAAATCATCATGATTCATGAGGAGGGATTCACTTTTCCGTCTATTTGGGGATGACTACATATATATATATATACATATTATATACATAATGATTTTGTATTATGTGTGATATATGTTTGGACATGTTCTTCACATAGCCCTAATAATTCATGAAATACTCGAATTGATAGGGTTTGATTGGGTATCTTCAGACACACCCATACGGAGAAAAAACGGGAAAGTTGTCATATAACTACTGGGGACATAGGGCCATGAAAATTATTTAAATCTGCGTTGGTTACTACAGTTTTTGTTTGTTTTTCTCCATCCCAATAAATGGTACAAAAATCATTGATAAAACCATCACTCATTCATTAATCCAGTTGTATAATTTCAGTAGTGTATATGACATACTGTGGGTGGAAGAAAGCCTGCACTTGGTATCTATTAGGCCACTATGAAACACTCTAAACTGGTTGGGATTATCTGGGATTTTGCGCATCTACCTGACAGTTGGAGTTGGAGTCCTCTTGGATATTTGGGGTGACACCAGCACAAGATACCCCCATGTGTTGGTACGTGCTTCTCAAAGAAATGATCAATTTAAACATATTGCATTACATATACTGTATACTACATATATATATAGAGTACTATATAGTACTCGTACTCCCCAAAAAGACGGAACATAGAACAATAGAACAGCACACTAAATCATAATCAAAGTCCAAGCACCGGTGGAATCTTGTTGGTTGAATTGGAAATGCTCCGTCGTTCTATTTTCATGGGTTTTGACATGTTAAAAATCTAAACCATCAAACATTGGGATATAACGGGATACCATTCAGAAATGTTGTTTAAGATTGTTCCTTACTTTCTGTAAAATAACAAATCGATGTAGGTTTCACCCAGCGTTTAAGTAGATCATTTTCCGATTCGGAAACCCAGCGGTTGTTTTCCACCATGACCTGCTCGGGATGAGGTACAGTGCTTCACTTCATCGCGTTGAACGGTGACACGGACTTGTTCCGGGAGGCCGTTTCCGTTTTCAAAAAGGACGATGACTGGCTGGTGGTTTCAAACATGAATTTTATTTTCCATAGTATATGGGACAATCCTTCTCATTGATGAACTCCATCATTTGGGGTAGGTTGAAACCACCATCCAGATGAAGTGAAGCATTAGAAACAAAATTCCCATAATAACCATAATATTGCATTTTTATTAATGGTGTTCAAGCGATTCTGGATGCAATCTGATAATATCTGATATCCCGATTCGAATCCCGATCATTACCATCCCCATAGACCCTGCCAAACAGGGTCTATGTGATTTTTGGAGGGTACCCACAATGCGGGGACCCAACCGAAAAAACGAACAAATGAAGGTGTCTGGCGTTAGTTTTCGGCAGAGACGTATCCTTTCAGTCCCTGGTGTGCTCTACGAACAGCTGAGTCGGGATTGTTCTCACAGGGATTACATAGGGGATATTGTGATAGTAGCGGCATAGTACATGTGATATAATCGACACAGCGTGATTTCACAGTATTGGGTTTGTTTGAGAATAGAGTTCCCCTAAAGCCCAAGGTTTAGAACCTCATCTTCATTACGTACGGAAATTGCTATAAATTGGGGTCCCCTCCCCCATTTTGGGGACACGCCATCATTCAGATATTGTTGGTGAATTTAAAATAGCATGAGATTCCATCCCAGAAAAAATATATCATATTCTATTAATCAATGATTAATATATTTATCCCCTAATACTTGGTTTGATATCCCCCACTGATCAAAGGCCAATCCACTGAGCAGGCGGTCAGCGACCCCAAAGCGGATGAGGACTTGATCAACGTCCGGGACAAGTTGGGCGATACGGCACAGAGCCCCAGTGATCCAGTTAAGAGCGATGCCGTTAAAAGCACCGTGGTGGACGACCTCATCCGGCTTTACCCTGTGGTAAACGTACAAAAAAAGGTGGAAAATCACCATTTTTAACGGGGAAATCAACTGTAAATGGCTATTTTCAATAGCTTTTTGTTAGTTTACCAGAGGGTATCATGCTTTATCGGAACATAGGGATAAACAATGATAAACACAGAGTAGTCAATACCGGAGTACTTCCACGCACTCGCTTTATCAGTCCCATGAAAAGATATGAAAAGTGGATTTTGAAGTGGTCCACGGAGTAGTTCTGAACATATCCCTACAGTTGTCAGTCCTAGATATGGCTATGGAACATTTGATCAACAAAAAATGCTTGCAAATCATCCCGGAAGGGGACAGAGCACCCCGGCTTCATCAGGCCCTCACCATAGCTGCCATTACAGGTGCAGCGGCGCCACCCGTGGCAAGATTATAAACCACATCATGCAACTAACCATTTATATAGATAGCCTATATCTAACTACGCATATCTTTATTAATCATGCAACATTATATTTAACTACAGCCTCTGGTAGATTGTTACATACCAGAAAATCATAGAAAATCACCCTTTATATCCAACCATCTATATTGACTAGTAAACATTTAATAAAGATTTCCACTAAGATCTGTACCCTCTGGTAATTTGTTACATAGTTATATATATTGATAATGGTGATTTGCAGTTTACTTGACTAAAACAAATGTGATTTTCTATAGCAAACTGTTGGTGGAGGACTGGAGGGTAGCTCTGGAATTTCCCCATTTTTTATATAAGAGGTACAAGGTGAGGCCCCCAAAAACCGATGGCTAAGTTGACTTCTAACTTGCGGGTTTATGGGGATGCATATATCTATAGTTAATGGGTTCAAGTAACAATGTTATACTGGTTGGTGGTTTGGAACATGAATTTTATGACTTTCCATTCAGTTGGGAATTTCATCATCCCAACTGACGAACAAATATTTTTCAGGGGGGTTGTTTCACCTCCAACCAGTATGAACTGGGTGGCCTCACCCGGAAATCATCAAGCTCAGATTCGGCCGAATCTATCGGCTGGTTTCACCAGTCGCACCTGTTGGTGTTGGTGAAATCATGGGAATGTCAATGGATTCAATGGTGAATGCCAATTCCAGAAAAATGGTCATATGGTTTCTCAGAATACCATATATATATATAGATGGTTTATCAGAATACCATATGGATCCATATGGTTTCTCAGAATAACATAACCAATGGTTTCTCAGAATATCTAGGACATCCATGGTTGGTGGTTTGTTGTCCATCAACAATGCACCCTGCCATGGCATGCCATCCTTATGGTCAAGACATGGAGCACCATCCCGCGGGAGGTAACCATTTGATGCCAGTTTTTTTGCCTGCAGACTTAGCAGACTTAGCGTCCTCGGGGGTCTCACCTTTGATGGAAAACCCTTCTGAAAACCCTTCTGAAACTTGTAGATCATCCGGAATCTTCGGCCCCATTTCTGGAAAATCTCCGGAAGAAACTGTGCAGATTTTGGTAGTCGACCCCATCGTTCCTCCACCACAGGCTATGTGGACATTTTGGCCACGTGCCTTGAGAAAGAGGCAGATCTCAGCAGACAAATACCCTCTGGTTATGACTAACAGTTCGCCATGGTATAGATGGCCCATAGAAATAGATGGTTTACCTGGGTTTACCGTTCTTAAAAATGGTGGATCTTTCCATGGTTATGTAACAAATAACCAGAGGGTAGGATTTTTGATCCATGAAGATTGTTGGATCGGTTGGCCTGGGCCTGTAAGTCATCGCAAACCCTGCCAGGATATATAGGGGGATATGGGACCTGGAAAAGAATTGATATCTGAGACTATTTGATGTAAATAGAAACAACCATAACCATATATGCTATACATAATCAGTATATAATATTATATATTTATATGGTTATAATAAGTTATATAATATATATATATATATTGTTCCGAGAAACTGATGACAAATTGACGGATCTAGGGGTACATCTATGTGCTCGAGGTGGGACTCCAAAATTCGGTCGCTGCAAAAGTGAAGAGTTCCTTTTCACGAACTGAATCTGTTCATCTGTTCCCATAAACATGTCTTAATTTAATCGAAAATAATGTTGGAATGCAATTTCACGGGAACCTCATTTTCAATTGGCACTCGAAGTATTCAATGGTTCCCTGAATCCCACACTGCATCGCTGCGTCGTAGGCTGACGTTGAGGCAAAGAACCTCAAGGGCCGAACGGTTTCTTGATTGGCTGAGTCGATGATGTTTGAAGTTTTTCCCAATGGGAAATCCACTACGACTGGGGAATCCATAGGATACCTTTTTCTTGCGGGTCCTTAAGCAAATCCAAGTTTTCTTCTAGTGATTCTAGTGTCTAGTGTATATCACAAACTCTGATTGAACAAATAAAGTGTACGGAACGGTACGGAAAGTGACCTTCTAAAGGAATCTGTGTTTGCTTGTTCAGAGGTTGGTAAAGGTCCAGTGTTGATTATTTTTTTTGTATTTTGTTAACGTCACCTCCCAATGTTTGGCCGATGTACAGGGTGGGTGTGTAGATGTGAGTGGCTCATGTTTCGCAAGAGAAATGGAGAGATATCATGATAGATACCAAGCAGCAAAAAGCATTTTTTGTTGAATGTTTTTTTAGGTGACTTCGATGTGCCCACTGCAGTCACTCTCTGTTTTGTTCCATCTAACCGCATTCCGAAAAAAACAATTAAGATAAGATAACTAACTTATGTCACACATAGAAGTGTATTACCCAAATTATGATCAATTTATTTCCAGTTATTAGCCACTTAGTTTTGGATGAGTACAGTAAGATTTGTTTTTACTTGGAGGATCATCCCACTTAAAGTGACTCAGCAACTAGTCAATAAGCCTAGTTGACTCTATACTATGGCTATAACATGCTCTAAGTACTAATAACGGTCATAGTTGATATCTGGACTATTTTATGTAAATAGTAACAACCATAACTATGTGCTCTATATATCTAGATATATATATATATACATCATCATATATTTATATGGATATATATATAATTGTATAATATTAATTATATATATGCACCAGGCCCTGCCACCCCCCCCTCCCCCCCCCCATATGGGATGGGGTCCCATATACTGGTCCCATATGAGATCTTCCCCCTCCCCCCCTGTGGTGTGGTGGGGGTGTGGCACTGTCCCCCTCCCCCCCCTGTGGTGTGGTGGATGGGTCCCATATACTGGTCCCATATGAGATCTTCCCCCTCCCCCCCCTGTGGTGTGGTGGGGATGTGGCACTGTCCCCCTCCCCCCCCTGTGGTGTGGTGGATGGGTCCCATATACTGGTCCCATATGAGATCTTCCCCCTCCCCCCCCTGTGGTGTGGTGGGGGTGTGGCACTGTCCCCCTCCCCCCCCTGTGGTGTGGTGGGGGTGTGGTATGGTATGGTGGGTATGTATGGTGTGTATGGTCGGTCTGGTATGGCATGTTTGGAAAGTATGGTATGTTTGGTATGTATGGTAGGTATGGTATGTATGGCATGAGTGGTTGGTATTGTATGGATGGTAGGTATGGTATGTAAGTCTGTTGGATATGGTATGTTTGATATGACAGTATGTATGGTCTGTATGGTATGTATGGTTACTATGATGGGTATGGAATATGTCCTATCTAAGGTAGGTATGGTATGTATGGCATGTATGCTTGCTATTGTATGTATGCTATTGTATGTATGGTAGGTGTGGTAATTACATTTCATATGTATGGTATGTATGGTATGTATGATAGATATGATAGGTATGGTATGCATGGCATCATTGACATGTATGGTAGGTACGGTATATGTTCAACAGAGGTAGTGTTGTCAGAGTACACAGGTAGTAAACAGGAAGTAGATACAGTAGATACATAGCACATGTATGTATGACTATAGGTAGCACGTAGGTACTTTGAAGGAGTATGTGTGCTACGTAGGTCGCCTAAAAGGTAGCATGTACCTAGTAAATGCGAGGCTGGTAGTCAGAAATGCTGCAAAGACCTAGCAAATACGACGCTGGACCTCAGAAATGCTGCCAATAGCTTGCAAATAGAAGGGAATTGGGGCTACTACCTGGGGACCCAACCCATGGGGGGGGGGGGGTGGAGAGACGGAGGACGGGACCATATATACATCATCATATATTGATATGGTTATACATATATATATATATATTTATGTGCTGTATACATAACTTTTAGTATTTTTTATCATTACAGTCGGCAAAAACAAATGTAGAGATCTGGTTTCCGTGGGATCCACTGAAGGCGTTACTCCTGGCGGCGGAGCATGGACATTCCGATGCGCCTTGGGACGGCAAATTTGACCGGAATCGAGTTGGGACGGGACGGGACGGAAGCGTGGTTTATCAATGGCATGTATCAATAGTATTCTATGAGTTGTTCAATGTCTTATATATATATATTATATACATATATATATGTATATATATATATTCTGATATGTTAGATTTATATGTAGCTATATCTTTATCAAAGTTATTTAATTAGCAGTAAATGTACGTCACAGTTTTTGACCTGCATGTTCATATATATATACACAGAAAAGTCATCATCTACTTGGTTTCTAAACATAGTGATGTTCAATATTACTGTACTTCATGTTCATTTTCAACTCAATTTTGACGCATGGTGCCAGTTGCTATGGTGCAGGTTGCGCTCAAATTGTGATTCACATTTTTTTTTAAAGTAAAACACTTCTTGCAAGATGTTGCAAACATTTATCAACAAATCATCGGAGTTCCACTGAAAAAAACCTCTTGATATTGGTGTCTTTCCGGCATGTTGGTGCGTGGAGTTCCGTGCCGGAAAGCCAACTTTCTTGGATAAATTGCTGTGACTTCTGCTGTTTGGTGTATCTGTATGTAATATGTATTTAATCATCTGAAGTATATACATTAGAAATAAACTTTGATAAGATATACTCCGATTTTGGTGATGATTTTGTGAACTTCCCATATTTATCTTGTCCAGGATGACTTTGTATACACAGTTCTAGTATCCCCAGAGATAGAGGAATAACATTCTACTCAAATAATGGGAAATGACTTTTCTATCTCTTTTTTGGGAACTATATGTGAATGTACACACATATCCACAGAATTTACATTGCAGGAGTCTCCAACTTCAATTGTATTTATGTGTGGTATTTTTGTTGGTTCAATTTGTCGACCTTTGATCATGAAGTTACCATTGTTGCTCTTAAATTCACTTAGGTTCATATTCTTATTTAAAAAAAAACATGATTTGCAGTTTTGCATAAGTGTTTGTTGAAATCTGCCTTTTTTGCATTGTAAATCTGAGGTCTTTGTGGAAAGCATATCACAATAATGGACATGTACCACATTACAAGTATATTCCTATTGCATTTCCAACATATATAGAGTTCCATTTTAAGCCTGCGATGTTTGATAACAAGAGGGTAGATACTTCCCATGATATTCCAATGATATATCCATTAAATTCCCATTAGATTCCAATTACACCCTTACATTTATCTTTCCAACAAATAGGGTACCCCTAAATCTATTGGTCAATCGTCATTTTCCATGGCTAGAATTTGCGGTATACCAGTTTTTCAGATTCCCATTGGAACCTCCATCAAAAGAGGCCACCAGACGGTAGTTCCCATTTAAATCCATTATCTTCCCCACCATTGTTGCTTAAATCCCATTGATAGTTATTGCCATCAGTATACCCAGTATATACACAGTGATCACAACTTTCCTTCTGTTATACAACATTTTCAAACAGACCCAGTAGGTCCATTCAACCTTCTTGAACCCTATCACACCCCTGTAAAATGAGATCAAGCCTTATCAAACCATTACAAATGTTCGATTAAACCCTATCAAAACCCTATAAAATCCGATTCAGCCCTATAAATTCCATACATTTCGAGGCTGTTCAATTTAGACCTTATCAAGCAACTACTGTTGGATGGTTTCATCCTATTAATCCCATTCTCCAAACCTGATTCAATCTGTTTGTTTCTTACAGACCTTATTACATCCTATTAAATCCTATTACCATCTGGTTATTTAACATAGCCATGGAAAATCACATTTTTAAGTTCGGTAAACCATCTATAAATGGGCCATTTTCCATGGCTATGTTAAATAACCAGAGGGTAAACCCTATTAAACCCTACAATGTGAGGCCCCCCAGTTATAAGTTGCTTTATAAGCCCCAGTAACTATAGTTGTAAGTACCATAAACCATAGTTATTGGAGTTATTTGCACCAACTTAGCTATCTTGGGGGCCTCACATTGTACTAAACCTGACAAAAAACCCTTCATGAATCACTGGAATCCCGATCCCAAAAGATCCGATTCATCTCGTCCATCTCGTCCAGCGAGGCCGTGCAGATGCTTCTGGTGGCCAATGCAGAACTGGACCCAGGGAAGGGAACCACCTGCCTGGGATCCTGGTGATCCACGAGGTAATGGGAGATATTGTCCATAGGTAAAGGGATGTTTAATAGGATTTAATAGGGTACAATAGGATTTAATAGGGTTCAATAGGTTTTAATAGGTTGTCATATGGATGTAAACATGGATGTAATGGATGTAATGGGATATATTTCCCTACTGGGAATATATGGGTTAAATGGGCAGAGAATGGCTATTCCTTACAAATATATCATGCGTTGGGATTTTAACCATCAACAATGGGAATACAATAGGGATACATAACCCCCAGGATGTAATGAGATATATTACCTTTAACCTAATGGGATGTAATGGGGAATACTAACAATAATAGGATGTAGTGGAAATAATTTCTGTAACCAATAATAATGGGAATATACTACGTATGAATAATGGTACATCTAATCCCCATTGAAATGATTAATGGGTATAATATTTAACGAAAATAATGGGATATATTCAACAATATTAGGATTTTATATAATCTAATGGGATTTCAACAATAGTGGAATATAACTTACAACCAACAATATTAGGGTTTAGCAATGTTGGACCCAATTAACCAACAATAGTGATATTTAGTCAACAATAATCAATAATGTTCAAGTGGGTATTATGGGTATAGTTGTTGTTGGTTAATGTACCCATTATTGTCGGGAATAAGTAATCTACCCATCAACAATTGATTATTGTATATCAATGGGATTTAGTAAATGTGATGTAACGTTAATATAATGTATGTACATATATATATATATCACATCCATACATACTGACCATACATATATATATAGTTCTTAACCAACAATAACGGGAATATATTGGTGGTATCTAATGAGATATATGAATGAAGCCTATGAATCATGGGTGGATATCTATGGGTGTATCTCAGGGGCCCCAAACCAAGATTGAAACCATAGAGTCCATAGAGTGCTCGATTTTTTTCTGAGTTTGGTGAATGTTCATTCACCAGTAACATTATAGAGGAAATTATTAGTTTGGGGTTTAGTAATACCAGTAAGTTTTGGTATTGTTCACTATGTTTAATCTATTCAGTTTGGTAATTTACCCATCTTGGGTTATACTATGGTATTAACTATCCAATGTATACTTAAACAAAAGCAAAACAATCAAGGGGCCCATGTTGGGAACCATCTGTCTAAAGTTTAAAAGGCTCGCTCAAGCCAGTTCTTTACTGATGACCCAAACAATCACCTGTTTGTTGAATTGCAGGTAGCAGACATGCTAGGATGTGTGTAGCCGTGGATAGTGCACATAAACATCAAGATACAATGTGTATTATATATATATATATGTGTATATATATATATGTATATACATATATATATATATATGTATAATAATATATGTATATATAAATATGTATATATATATATATATTTAGGTAGCTTTATCTTCATCTTTTGCACATGTGCATGTATATGCGCAAAGCCCAGTATTCGCCCCACAGTTGCATAGCAAATGTCAGGCATGTGTCTTTTAAGTAAGTATATATATATATATACACATACATATAATCCCTTCCAACAACAAATACACCCTAAAAACCATGGCTTCTGTTGGATCTATTATTTTTCTGGGAATTTTAATATGTTTAATATGATCGGGGAATGGGATGAATAGGGGCCAAGTCCCACAGATTTCCAATCAATCCCAGCTATTGTAGAACCCCTACAAAGAGGTGTCCCCCCCAAAAAAAAAGGGTTGATTTATAAGCAGCATAAACTATAGACTATAGACTATAGATATGCTGTAGACCATAGAATTCATGCGATAAAACACATACCCTCTGGTAAACTAACATAGCTATGGAAAATCACCATTGCTCATGGGAAAATCCACTATAAATGGTCATTTTCAATAGCTATGTTAAATTACCAGAGGGTAGCTATCATAAATCAACTATAAATCCACCTAAATATCCTTCTTCTTGTTGCCTTTACACCCAACTGGTAGATTTTCGACCAGGTCCCAGTGCCATGTATTTGGCCGAGCTGAATCAGCGTGACGGCGTACCTTGGTTCCGATTCTTCGTCGAAGGAAGGGCGTATGGTATATATGCTAACATTTGGGGTATATTGATGGTAAATGTTACCATATATAGCATACATGGATCCTATGGGGAATTCCAATCTGTTCAGAAAGTTCAGATTGTTTAAAAAAAAACACCAGGTTCGAATTCAATGTCAGTCTTGACATGGTTTCAAATGTTGGAGTTGTTTCTTCAGAAAGTGATGAAAAGGGAGCTGAAATTTGCCAATCCGATGCTTGAAATTGAAGTTTAACAACTCCTAAAGACGATACCATAAATTGAAAGCACCGTTAATTTCAAGATCTTTGATTTCTTCCAGAGTAGATTGTCAATAGGTTATCATCCCCCCAATTGAACATGGCCATTTTGAGGGCGCACATTTTTTGGATCACCACTACTAAACCCAATTAACCACACTGGATTGCCATGTTTACTTGTTTCCAACTAAAGCTGCCAAAATTGGGTGTATCACGGTATATCATGGTATAGCCTTTTCCTTCGGACAAAGCGACATACTCACATCATGGATGGATTTTCAAAGCCTCAAAGAGTCTCACCCAAGTTGAATATATATATATATAATAGTTGAACATTTGTATAATATCAAATATTAAAAATCGTTCAAGTACCGTGTTATCCTCCTGCCAAGACACGTCGACAATTTTTTTGGCACAGAAACACCAGCACAGATGGTAATCCCCCATGAAACACCCGCCAGAAACCATGGTTTAGTGAGGGATAAACACATATTAAGGACCATTTAAATCCATTTAGGTGGTGTTTACCATATGATCAGATGATTGGTAGACTCTTGACGTCGGAACCACGTGGTTTTGGTCTCATCTCATCACCCAACTCCGGGGCTACAGCCCTAGGTGGTGAAAACCATCGTGCAGCACCTCCAAGACATGGCTGGAGATGATGAGTTTTAGCTGCGAAAGCATCGGTGCAGCAGTGGGAGGATATCTACGGCCGTTGTGCTTGATCTTTTTTGCCTAGATCATGTGTCGCTTAAGTCCATCAAATGATTAAGTTCCCTTCTATATGATCATATAGCCTCATATAGTCCCATCCCCGTTCATATTAAACACCCATTGTATGGTCCCAATGGAATGTGGAAGTTCCCTACATCCACCTTGGTTTTTGTTAGTCGACTCACCTGGGCGGAGTCGGAGCTACTCTCAATGGATTGGTTTAAGCCCCATGATCTTCATAGGAAAAGCGAGCCAGTTTCCGCTGAAGATTTTCCCAACTAAAGCAATCCATTGATACTCTCGATGTTCAGAGTTTGACACTTGCCAATTCTATCCAATTCTCAGAACACTTGGCAATGGTTTACTCTCAGAGTTTTACACAGGAGAATTGGAGGAGAGAACATTTGGTTTCTTCAGAGTTTTGTACTTGCCAACAGAACCAAGATGAACCAAGTGTTGCCAGATTTGGAGTTCTAGATTGGATTTGTTCAACTGTTTTTTTTTGACAAGTTGTTGTTTAATTTTATTTACTACTGACTACAAGTCTAGAACGATAACACACATGAGGACGACAACAAAGATATTTGCGAGGATGTGGTAGTGCATTTCTGTTCTGTAAATCTGTGGAGATATAAATGTTAGAGGGAAGATTGTCTGATATTATATTATAATTGCTCTCCTGCCCAATGCTTCATGATTTATGTGTTTCAAGTTCTTTAGAAAAAATGCACAGCTGAACTTTTTCGGCGGTGTTGGAAACTGATCACTTTCGAGTAGTTCATCAAAAAATGTGTTTATGCACATCAACCGCAACCAGAAGTTTGAACACAATCCTTTGACATCATTGATCTTCTCGCAAACCTTTAAGCCTTATGCAACCAGTTGCAGTGTTTATGACACTGGGAATATCGATTTCAACATTTGTGATGACTTCATCTGCACCGAAGCATTTCTGCAGAAGCGGTTCCTTTCCAGCAGGTACCTCTATGGACCCAAATGATATGAACCATCCAAGAATGGATATGGTGTCTGAAAATGGGAACACCCAAAAAATGCCATGAAAATATAGGAAAATGATGATGAAGCAATGGATCACTAGGAACACACAGGGATGCACTTTTGTTTCAGAGAAACCCATATGAACCATCCAGTTTTTCCATGAAACCTCCGATGAACTATCCAATAAATGGCAGTGAATATGTTTGATGCACAGCCAGAAACTTTCATCCCATCCGAGACCCTTGGGAGGTGCTTGGGACTGATATTTAGGGCTCTCAACATCTCGCAGCCGGAAATTTGGACAAAAGCCATGGCTTAGATACCACGTTGGGGGCTGTGTGCCGCAGGGAGTGTCTCATGTTTAGCCCATTTTGGCTCAGTTTTTAGCTTCCACTGGTTGAGAACACCAGTGATTGGACAGAGAGAGACAGAGAGAAGAAAGAATGGAATTGCCTTCGGCTATTGCTGAGTGAAAGATGTACCTCTCAAATCCGCTGTATATACCTCTTGACCCAAATGGAATTTCTAACCAGTGTTCACCAGATGTTGCACTTCACATGACTGGCTTTAAAAACAATATAAAACAACGAGTCAGACGAGATTTGTGCCATGGATCCTTTGAATCTTGGCTAACGGTGGTCCCGGTGTGCTGAAGTGGTGATTCTACGGAAGGAAATCTCTATACATATGTATATATTATCTTGTTAAATATACACAATCGGATTGCTCATGTACAGATAAGAATATTATGTAATTATGTATATATATACACACATGAGTATGTATTTATATATAATCCCTTCCTCCTAATACTAACCCCCCCCCTAATACAAAACACGGCAGGTAGTTTTTAGTATTAGGGGGGTATTTATTATTAGGGAACCAAATCGAAGTCATGTTAATTAATTAATTAAATTTCCTTATATAACGCAATTAAAATATTGCCAAAAATGGCAGTTCGAAGCTTACCCCTAATACTAAATAAAAACCCTTAATACTAAAAACTATTTTTTCCGATCTCAAAATCAATTAAATTTCCTTATATAACGCAATTAAAATATTGCCAAAAATGGCAGTTCGAAGCTTACCCCTAATACTAAATAAAAACCCTTAATACTAAAAACTATTTTTTCCGATCTCAAAATCAATTAAATTTCCTTATATAACGCAATTAAAATATTGCCAAAAATGGCAGTTCGAAGCTTACCCCTAATTGCTAGAGTAGCCAGGCAGCTTGGAGTGAGGGATTGGGACTAGGCCCCCCTAATACTAAACACCCCGGGGTGAACTAGTTTTTAGTATTAGGGGGGAGAACCCACAAATGGCAGGTTGATTTTTAAATTGTTTTTTAAAGGGGATCAATTAAAAGTCAAATTGGCCAAACTGAAATTTTCGGAAATTGGAGATGGATGCCTGTTTTTAGTATTAGGGGGACGTTTAGTATTAGGAGGAAGGGATTATTATTATTATATTATATATATATATTGTAGAACCTTGTGGGTTTTCGGAACGCATCCTTTCATTGAATTCATCAAGCATAGGACTCCCTGAATCCCTAGCGCTTGGCCATGCTTAGGAAGAACTGCAAAGCGGCAATACAAGATGCCTTTGAGAACATGATGAAAGTGGTTGCCCAACAGGAGGACTGTGAATCATACGAAATCTCTTTTTCTGTGGATGCGGTTCGATGTGTTTGACATACAATGGAGCCATGGCTATCTATGTGTATATATATAGGTATATAAATTCAAGGTTCGTTGCAAGTGCTATGTTGTATATTATTATTATCATTATTAGTATTGAGGTGGATATGAGTCAGAAGAAGCGATGACTCGACACCATATCACAGAAATGATTTTGAACTCGTTTGACGAGGTCTCTCGTTGTGTACAAACTGGAAAAGTATGAAGAGTTGTCTCCTCGCAAAGCTAGACTGCTAGAAACACTTTAGAATCAGGCTTGAAACGCTGGTTTCTGGTTGCTGCTTTCAAACATCGCTATGGATCCCTATAACAAAGATGTTTTTCTGGGATGAACTCCAGAAATCCAAGCTATTTTGGTGTCAAGATGACCATTTTAGTATTGAAACATATTGAAACCTATGGTTTGTTTGGTGGGATCCCTCACTTTAAGAAACCCAAATCAACAGCTGATTTCCATCCAGGAGTTGTTGCGGGTCAACTTAGAGAATGCCCAAGATCAGAGCCAAAAAGCTGAAGCAGAACGCCGGGAACTCCTAGAGATCGTAGGGCGAAGAAAACTGGGCCAAGGTGCTAAAGGTGTAAAGGTTTGGGAAACTGGTTGGTGATTTCAAACATGTTTAATTTTCCATTATATATGGGATAATCCTTCCCAACTGACTTTCATATTTTTCAAGATTGTTAAAGCCACCAACCAGGTAATGTTGGCAGTTTTTTGTTGATTCTTTGCCAAAAATCGACCTTTGGAAAGTAGATTATTTACCGTTATTTACCTTTACGTATATATTCAATCCATCAATTGAGAGGATCTACATGGAATTGCATGATGTTTAAATCCTATATAAACCATACATTTTAATATGGCCATTGACCATGGCCATGTGAGATGACCAAAACAATTACATGTGGATCCTCTATGGAAAAACCCGGATGGTTGGGTTGTTCTGGCGGATTCTTGATTTATTGAATGAGGGGTCAGATTATACTCATCTACAAGGTGATGCAACATTTTTGAGTTGGTTTTAGAAACTCAATGATATCCCATGATCTATAGATATATCTACCATAAACCTAGTGATAACTAACCAAGTTAGCTATCTATGGTGCCACACCTTGTGTCATTGCTTCGGTGTTTGCCAGACATTAAGAATGGTCCAGCTGCCCAGCTGGGATGTTTTATGTTGCAGGTGTTCCACCTATGGCCCGCAACGCAACAGGCAAGCATTGGGAAATGCAGAGCCAGATGGTCCGGGCTCCCAGTCACGGAGGAGTCCTTTCGAGGACATGCAGCTACGGAGGTGATTCAATTGACGACTGACTTTATATGTATATACTATGTACGTATCATATATAAACCCATTACAAAGAATTGGTTTATGACAGTATATGCGACAACAACATGTGTACATATACATAATAACATGTACAATTTGCAGTTGCTTGCAATGATCTTGATTCTACATGTTGATATTTTTTCATGACACATGCAATCTACCATGGTTTGATCAGCAGAACTGCTTTTTCTCGGTGTTTTCACTTGGGGTTTGAGGCAGAACAGAAGGCAAAGGATGCGGATCAACGATTGCAAGTCATGGACGATCTGTTGAAGGAGGCTATGGGAGAAGAGCTGCAGCCGTTTTTCTAGTAACATGAGCCCCATTTTACCGGGCCAAAATGGGGATGGGTCAAAATTATTCAAAAATTAAGGCCCCAAAGCGAAGATTAGGTTCATTTTTAGTATTAACCATAACAACAAAGCAATTTCAGAGCTAATGTCAAGTTGTGATGAATAAACTCCAGGGATTTGTTTTTTAAATCACAACTACACAACTGGTTGGTGGTTTGGAACATGTTTATTTTTCCATTCAGTTGAGATTTTCATCATCCCAACTGACTTTCACTCCATCATTTTTCAGAGGGGTAGGTCAACCACCAACCAGATTATGGTATATCCCAGTAAATCCCGTGAAAGATCCCATTAATTCCCATTAAGTCACCATAAATTCCCCATTAAGTCACCATAATAATTCCACAGCATCTCCAGCTGTTCTTTTTGGACACGCTGAAATGGATTTTGGATGATGTTGGTCCAGTCCGGCTGATCCGCCAGATGAGAGAGCTGAAATCCCAGGTGCACGGGATGAGCACAGGATGAGCACTGGGCACTGCTAGATTGGAAGCCTCCGATTATCATAGACCATATATATAGACATGTATAATGGATCTATGGAATATCTATGGAATATCCATGGAATATCTATGGAATATCTATGGAATATCTATGGAATACCTATGGAATATCTATGGAATATCTATGTAATGATTTATATAGCCTCCAGGTTTTGATTCCAAATTATAGACATGTGTAAACTTACTAAGTGAGATGCACTATCATCCACTGGTGCTGACGGAGATTTTGCAATGTCAATCTATATATTTCCATCTTACAAAGGGGATTTTTGATTCCACTTGGCTTTCATGTTTTCGGGACCATGGAGGCTCAATCCCTGCAATTGTTGATGGATACCCCCCAGCATTATTGATCTCCCAATTTTCTCCTACTTCTTCACCCAATTTTTATGGGCGGCTCAAAAATACCCTGCGTGTCAGCGAAAATCCTTGATGTTTTCCCGAAATAAGTGAAATCACCACCGAATATGTTCTGTAGAATGCTGATAGTATAGTGTACGTAGGTAGCATATGCAGTGACAAGCCTCCAATTTGCGGATAGTTTGTACTATATAATATACCTCCCGTTTCTGGTAAACTGGGCGATGGTTTGTGATTGGGCTCGCGATCTTTCTCATTTACTACATTATGATATATTTTTACATGCTAATATGATACATGCCCTCTCTCTCTATGTATATACATATATATATATATATACATACATGCTTTGCATAGGTACTAGTTATACCCATATGATATACTGTAGCAACCCCCAAAAACAGATAGAAAAGGTTTGTAAGACCATGTGATCTTCCAGGTGACCAGAGCTCCAGAGGTTAATGTCCCCATGCCTGTGGCTTGGCCCTTTGGGAACTTCCCAAACATTGGCAGGATGGGAAAAGCTGTTGATGGGACCATCATCTATATATTAATTATACATATATAATTGTATATAATTATATATATACCCTCTGGTTATTTAACGTAGCTACGGGAAATCACCGTTTTGAATAGGTAAATCATATTTTTTATCATCTATAAATGGGCAATTTTCCATAGCTACGTTAAATAACCAAAGGGTATATATATATATATCATATCATATATATATATATACATACTGTATATTATATATTTATGTGTTCAGACTTTTGGGGTCAGATTGGATTACCAGAGTGTAAGTGGGAAACCTGACCAAAAAATGAGGTGCTGTCGTCTGGAGAGCCAAGCTTGTCCGCGTTGGTAAATCCACCATTTGGGGAATCTAATTATAGGAAATCTGTTTTATTTTTTTGGGGACAAATTGAATAAAATAAAATTAAATGGCAAATTAACCAAGATTTTTGGATGCCACTGGGCCACCTTAAGCAAATCCCAGTTCACAGTGACCGAGCGGGTAGATCTTCGACATTTTTGCCCTTGGCGACATCCAAAGTGTATGGAACCATCCAAAATCCGAACCATCCATGGTTGCCCCGGTTGTTTCCCAGCTCCAATTTTATGACATAGACTACTGTACATGACTTTAATATGACTATGTGACTTTGTCTGAAACTTGGGTTCAGTATTCCACCCAAATTGGAATTTCACATGAAAATAGCGATGATGTGATGATTCTTGGGATGGGTAGCACATTTTCAGAGACCCGTGTGGTTCAAATCCCCATTGACGCCAAATTTCAGGAAAAGCCACAGCCTCCGTTTCGACCAGAGGAGCCGGAGGGGATTTCGACCAGAGTACAGCTTGGACTGTTGGATTGCCACTATGACAAAAATAAGGTAAGCCAAGATCCAACAAAATACTTCATACAGGAAGTAACTGTGTTATCTGTATATAATACACAAAATATTCGATGTGTGTTTTGCGATATCTAACAAATAGGTTACGTACCTTTCTGAATGTCGCTCGTGCTCTGTGATTGTATGCATTTCTTGAAATGAGAAAACGAGAAAAATATTGAGAGGCGAAGTAGTTTTGAGTGGACTTGGGATGTTCAAATCCGTGTTTAAACTTTTACAATCGATAGGGGACAACCCACTGACCGATATTTTGTTCTTCATATTCTGAACTATCTGAACTCATACATATGTTGTGGTTCTTGGAATTGCAGTGCTCGACTGAACGAGTTTGCAGATGCATTTATGTCCTGTACATCAATTGATAGCATGTAAGTATCTATACCCTCCCGGAATCAAACGTGGCAATTGGAAATCCCCTTGTAAAAAGATAGTTTAATGATGTTTAATGGAGTTTACTGAGAACAAATCATCTACACATGGGATGTTTCCATTGCCATGTGTGATTATCGGATGGTATATTATACACATGTCATCCATTATTTTAATTACAGTATTGATGAGTCCAAGCCTGAGAATCCTAAGATACAAAAAGTGTCAACAATGATGTGATGGTACCTATTTCGCGTTTCTGTTTTGTCTAAGTTCTTGGCTTTGCTTGGAACATGGATTGGATGTGCAAGTTGTTTTTGGGTTGGAACAATAAGAAACCATCCTCAATTTCACCACAAATAGATTGTATATAAACCATTCCCAGTCATGGGTGGTTTATGGCATTGTTTTACCCCCATTAGGCATTTCTGTGTTACAAAAGGCTTTTGCTCTCCCAAGATTCCGATGTTTAAGTGCGAGCAGTGTCTGGAAGGTTGGCATTAGTAGATACTGTCTGGTAATTTAACGTAGCTATTGAAAATGACCATTTATAGTGGATTTTCCTATTAAAAATGATGATTTTCCATAGTTATGTTAAATTACCAGAGGGTACTGTCTGGTAAGATAGCCCACGGGAAATCACCGTCTTTCATAGGTCAAGAATCGAAGCTTCAATGGGCCTGCCGTGCAGGAAAATCCACCACTCAAATCCATTGAGTTCGATATATGATTTTCCCATTTTCCCACTATCAAATCTCCATAAATCGAACTAATTGGATTTGAGTGGGAACATTTCCAATTAGTTCCATAAATCTCCATTGATTGAACATTTTCCATGGGATTTCCCACTTTTCAATCCTCCATTGAAAAAAAGACGTCCCGATGTCCCATGATTTACAGCCCACTCGCAGGCCTCGAGCAGCTCGCCCGGTGGGATCGATCCATCCTGGGGTTCCTGGGACCGACGTGAAGCAACCAACGAGTTGTCGTTTTCTTCGCCACCAAAAACGAACATTCGTAAATGATAGTTATTAATAGTCATTAATAGTTATTAATAGTTATTAATAGTTATTTATTTTTAATAGTTATTCATTATCAATGATGAACAATGATTATTTTCATAGTTATTTTCATAGTTGCCACTAGTGATTATTTTCATAGTAATGATAATGACGAACTATTTGAAGTTCAGTTGTGCCCAAGCCCAAGTCTTTGAAGTCCTGTGTTTCGACGGATGTTTTGGGGGCTACGGGTTGACAATTTGAGACAGGGGTTGCCTTTCCCAAGGGTGGCTGCTGATTTGGTGGATTCCTTGTCCCACTTGCACTCCCAAAGTGGCATCAAATGCCAATTACAATTTTCTGAATCTTTCTGATTTGAAAAGGATCACAATATGTAATCGTCAATGCCACGCGATTTTCCTCTCACAAATTCGCTGGTGGTCTCTCAGAAAAGCGATAAGCAATATGAGTTACCAACAGATTTCCGAAGAGATACAAAGCTAAAGAAATCACTCAGTCTGATTGCAGTTCTCTGGCTAGCTATCAAGATTTAATTAATTAAGGCCCTGGGAAATGCAAGATGATACCGTGGCCTCCATCCTGGTAACCAGCCAAAGAAGGTTATGGTTTTATCCATGTTTTATCATCATCTCCCATCCTTATAATACCATCATTGCCAATGAATACACGATTTTTTGTCCCATGATCCCATGCCATGCCCTTGGCTGTGCATCCCATTCATCGATATTTTGTGTCTTATAACTTACCAATCTGACCATATGGAATGCCCCAGTTCTAAATATGCTTGCCATCCCATCCAGGGAATATTGCCTAAAATAGCCAGGTTTCATAAACCAGCTTATAAAAAAATGGCTTCATAGGTGGCTTATGATTTACGATTTTACATAAATGGATTCATCTATGTACACATCCACATAAATCATCCTAGCTAGATGGTGGTACCCCCCAGTTTTGTTTGTTGGTTTATAATCCCCATGAAAATTAGTTCGATATATATATATATCCTCCAAACAAAAGCCTAGGACCATAGGACTTATAAACGCACCAACTTAGCTAACTATGTGGCACTACCGATAGTATGACCATCGAAAAAAACTGGGTATTCCACTGAAATATACCAAACTGGGGCACCGATAGTGGCGTAGAATCCCAGGGATGGTACAGCGAGGATCGTCCCAAAGAGAATACGTGGTTGGTAGGTGACGACTCATGGGCGATCGTTGTTGTCCCATCTCATGGCTGATATATAACTATGGCTAACTAGTTATACCTTTTTGTATCTTTTCGTATCTATTTAAAAAAACTTATATATGATAATATATATATATATATTATATTATGTATCTATTTTATTATATATACAATGATATACATACATATATGTATATATATACACAGTATATACAAGACTGGTCACTACTCGATGTAACTCGTTCCGAAAAGCGGCATGATCCTCCCTAAGTCTGCCGGCCACCAAGGCATCCAAGGCGCGCCGCCTGAAAAACCGTCGCTCGCTCGCCACAGGTCTAACGAGTTATGGCTTCGTAAGGAAATCATCCCCAAACATAGATGGATCATAAATGATAATGGATCACATCATGGATCCTATATACATATATATATATAATGGCTTATGTTCAGTTAAATCTCCGAAAAAATGATGATTCCATGATGAACATGTGTTCATCAGTTCTAGGGCCTAGGGGGAGCGGTATATGACACATATGGATACATATGGCTCATGTTTCCCTATTGGAGAAACGCCAGCAAACCCCCCAAGACTCACCAGAAGCACCGAACCAAACAAGAATGTTGGCTATAATGGTCCCAGACATTCTTGACAGAAATGTTCACAACTTTCATGATCATCCAATGTTATGATTATGATGATTATGATGATCACAAACAAGCGAACATGTGCCCTAACATGATGATAGATAATCATAACCATTCGTCTGGTGAAACAGTCATCCCAGGCATTCTTTCCCTCACAGATAGGGCCTTTGGGTTCATGAAAATTGACATCGACGGGGACTAAATATGGACTGCTGAAGCCATCGAGTTCCCATAGAAATGTCCCGTTTTTTAAGGGGAAATAATCTTCAAAAATTGATAATAGATGATTAATAGATGATCATCAATAATGTCAGATTTTGCAGGGAAAATATGTTGAAATCATCTCATAGATTTCGTAGATGATCATGAATTTCATCAATTTCATCAATTTAATTTCATCTCAATCATCATAAACTTCATCAATTTCATCAATTTCATCATATTTCCGACTTACTTCTGGTGTTTTCCATGTGCCCAACGTGTGAAAACGGTGATCAGTACAACGCCTGTGACCATCCCCAACTGGGATGGGACAAATGAGCCCCCGACGCTTTGGAAAGGCTAATCAATGTGTGTCATTATATCATATATATATATCATTATCATAATAGTCCCTTCCTCCTAATACTAAACGTCCCCCAAAACAGGCGTCCATCTCCAATTTCAGAAAATTTCAGATTGACCAATTTGATTTTTAATTGATCCCCTTTATCATATGTATATATATATATATATCATGTATATATATATATATCATATATATATATATACATATATATATATCATATATATATATATATTTATCATATATATATATATCATTTTACATATATATATATACATACATACTATAGTCTATCTATACATATATATATATATATGATTGTAACCATGAAAGTATATGAAACGGGCCATGTTATGTATCATGAATGGGTATGCTGTATAGCCGGTCTAGGCAATGTTCAGATCCACGGCCATTTGTTGCCGCCTTTGTGGCCACGACTTAGGCAAGGCAATTTCAAGGCGGTTGGGTCACTGTGGGCTGCTGAATCAGCAGGTAGAATGGGAGGCCGGTAACTTGTAGCCATTGTTTAAGAACATCATGAAAATCATTGGGACCCACATTGGGACTGTAAGTTTGATGATTAACCAAAAAAAAAGACGTATATTAGGTACTGTATTGTGCCTTCATTTGGTGAAGGCAGTCTGTTTTCCTTCCATGCTTGTTTCAGGCCGCACAAATACTCTGAGAAGTGCAAATCTCACGTTCCACATGAGACTAAGATAGTCCGCTGGCAATTGCTGTCCTTGACTTGTCAGATGGTCAGAGGTAACGAGATTAGGCCGTTGCTTGCATTCTTCTACTGCCCCTGAAAACATGTGCAATTCATTATCCAGTTATATTACAAGCCCATTCACTAAAGTCATATCCCCCCATAAGCCCCAGATATCCAAGTTTATGAGCGATCCATGATCAAAACAGCCATGAATACGTTGGAAGAAGCTCACCGTAGTTGAAGTCCAAAAACATTGAACAGTAGATGGCATGATTTGTCTCGCATTGCAGCAACAAAACGAATACAATACATACACCTATATCGGTATGGAGATACTCTACAATAATCCGCGAAGCACGTGAACCTTTTGTATCTTACTTGATTGTCTGATAATGTATAAACACATGGACATGATTCATACATAGATGCTAGTGTTTGTCCAACCAGCCCCCCCCAGCGACCCTGGTGCAGTATTGAATGCTCATGGAGGGTACTATATGGGAATGGGATTGTGGGTCTGGATCTGCAATCGAAAAATCATAACAGCCCATAGAGATATGCCTAGCAACATCATCATATTGTTGAAAAATTGGTCAACCTTGGACGGCTAGCATCACCATCCTCAACATTATCATACATTATCCTCACACACACACACACACTGTTTGGGGTCTCTTGCCGGTGTAATTTTTGAAGGGTCTCACCGTGCTCCGTGTCAGGCTCCGGCCCAAAAGGGTAACTCTCAGACAATGCTCAAAACCATATACCTCTCGGATTTTTACCGGATTTTCTCGGATGTTTTTGGACGTCTAGGCAACATAATTTGAAAGACCCAATATACCAAAACTTGTTAGGATCTAATTTGGGTTGCGCGTGGCAGTGGGATCACTCGAAGAAAGTATTTCCCCCATTTTTTTAGGGTGCCCCATAGATACCCTGCTGTCCCTGTGGCAGGCACCTCCAGATGCCTTGCAGGTGGAACGTGTGGAGAGTAGATGGTTTGATACTGAAAAACTGAGCTATTAAAAGTACCATTGTTAATTGGTTTGTCCGTGGAGAGTTAACCATCTTGTAAGAGGACTTACAACCATCAAACATGTGCGATATAGTTGATAACTGATGGCTGGTTGGTGATGAAATAGAAGATGACAACCTGGTTTAATGATGTTGAATAGGGCTGTTTTTGACGGTATTCTCAAATCAACCAAATCAAGGATAGCTATGGTAATTTTGAACGTTTTATGTTTTAAGTTGTTGTTGTTGTTGTTGTTGTTGTCGCTGTTGTCGTTGTTGTCGTTGTTGTCGTTGTCGTTGTCGTCGTCGTCGTCGTCGTCGTCGTCGTCGTGGTCGTTGTCGTTGTCGTTGTCGTTGTCGTTGTCGTTGTCGTCGTCGTTGTCGTTGTCGTTGTCGTTGTCGTTGTCGTTGTCGTTGTCGTTGTCGTTGTTGTTGTTGTTGTTGTTGTGACATGTTCTGGATGGTTCCCGCAAGGGGAGAAAACACCTAGGAGCAGCCTTGAATGAAAGAAGGATGGAACCATTGAGTGGCACACCAGCTGCAACTTGGGATTCATACCGACGATCTAATATACGTAAATTATATATACACGTACATGTATTTGTATTTAAATATTCTATATACACATTCATTTTTGATTACACATTATCATTACGCATTGTAAGTTCCATGTAAAGAAACGTCTATCTGAATTTGATTTTCAATTTCCTGTAAGTACTTGATGACTGGGAAATGATGAAAAAGGTGTTAATTTCTCACAAGATCTCCTGGTTAGTCATGAAAGTTCATCACGACATGGATGGTTCGAAATCAGAACCATTGATGTATCCATGACTCCACCAGTCTCATGCCAGCCTTCAACCAATGTTTAATCACATATATATATATATATATATGTGTATATGTAGATTTCTTCGTACTTGTGATTTTGTCGTTAAAGACGTGAATCCTTTCTCGCGCATTCCCGCGCGGCCAGGCCAAACATCAGCGCAAGGCATCGCCGTGGACACCCGGGCCTGACCTCGCTGGCCCACCAGGGCTGCAGGTGCGGGGTGGGTGACCAGAAGAGGGAAGGCGAGATGGGTATGCTTTACATACGTACATCATATATATATATATATTATATGTGTGTGAGGTTTACTGGGATTTCAAAGTCTATAGTAAGTATGGTGATATTGATTCTATGTATAAATATATATATATATATGTATTTATGCATATACATTCCCATACAATGTGTTTTTTTGTTGGATCTGATGGGGTTTAATGGGAAATAGACGGGTTCACATCCCATCCCCCATTCATATTGGTTACATCCCCATTCTAAATGGTCCTAAACATGTCTTTTGATTCCATTTTTTCCATGGTATCTGGCGAGTGTTTAATATGGGATTTTTAATAGTTTCACTTGTTTGACTGGTTTTCAACGTTTTCAATACATCGGAATATGCGCTAGTCAGCTTTAAAAAACTGCAGGTAGAGTAATTATCTAAGGTTGCCCATGGTCTGGAAGGAGTAATTTGGTATGTAAACCCAATGCCATGAATCCATATGATTTCCGGTTCTGGGGTATGGTGGACAAAATGCCAGTAAACGGAATAATGGGGTAGATGGGGGATGGTTTATTCTTGTGGGTCCCACATTAGATATAGGGAAATCCATGAGTTTCCATGTCGGTGCGGATCGTGGCTGGTTTCAATCAAGATTTTGAATCCTCGGGAAACTAAGCCACTCAGAAAGTGGTTGTACTACCAACATATCCAATGACCATGGGGATAAACATGCTGATATCTCCGAGAAATTCGCAGGCCGAGAGTGGACTGGAAAAACATCTGGGGCATTTACAGGTCGAAAGAAACATGGCAAAGTTGAACAGCAAGAAGAGTGATTTGAGGAAACAAGCTGTGAATTTCGGAAATCACCGTTCCAATAAATAATGCCACTAATGGAGTTTTTACGGACAATTTCAGGACTTTAACATTTACATACATTTACAACTGACGCTAATCTTGTTGATTTTTTCAAATATTTACTATAATGTTTCAACCATACAAGAGGGATGATTGGTTGACATGAATCATATTTTTGAGATGGTTTAACCAACCAGTAATTATTCAAAATCACCTGGATTTGTGAGGGGTCTTGCTGGTGCCAAGCTCTTGGATGAGCTGGAGGGCCACAGGTTGGCATGTCGGGTTTGTCCAAAATGCCAAGAACCTGCCCCAAAATTGCCATTGAACGGAAAGACTTCAGGATTTTCACAAAAAGATATTGCGGGATGTTCTCATGATTTTGTATTTCTTCAATCTTCGACATGTTTGCGAACCACACGCAAACCCAGCAAGGCACAGCCAAAAGAGGAGGCGCGGGGTTTGATGATGTCCTTGAGGAAGTGGGATCATGTTTCTCAGAAGTGGCTGGTAAAATTGCAGGAAAAATAATGTTATTTTGCGTGATTCATGTTTTGGTTATGTTGAAAAACTATGCTTTGTTTGGATTCCCTTGAATGTTTCATGATTTGTCTCTTCAATTACCCTTCAAGACCCTTCAATCTTGATGGCATCTTTGTATGTTTCAACCGAGTCTTGGTGGTGAGATTTGTTGAAACCGTTTTTTTTCATCTTGTTCCGCAGTCTGAGTCTTCTGTTGATGCAATCTAAACTCCAACGAGCCAACGCTTTTTTTTTCCTCCATGATACACATGCAGCCGTCCAATTTTGTCCAGCATTCCTTCTCAAAGCCCACAAATATCACCATAGTCCGTAGATCATGATCACCTTCACCATTATCCTCCTCATCTTGCTCCTCCTCGTCATTATTATTCTCATAATTCTTCTCATCATTCTCATTCTCATTTACATTCTCATTCACATCATCATCATCATCATCATCATCACCATCATCATCATTATCACCATCATCATCACCATAATTCTTATCACTTTCATCCTCATCCTTTGTACTTGAATAGTGAATAGCAGATCCCCTCAGCAACTTTCTTGGAATGGCAAGGGACCTCTGAAGCGCCCTCCCCCGGCCCCTCCGGGAGGGCAGGCGCAGGTCGATGTTCGCTGACTCTCTGGGTGAATCTGGGTGAAGTGGGACGGGATTGATGAGGATAATTTATATATATATATATATGTATGTATAATTATAGACAGACAGACAGACAGACAGACAGATAGATAGATAGATAATTAGATAGATTAGATAGATTAGTTAGATTAGTTAGTTAGTTAGTTAGTTAGTTAGGTAGGTAGGTAGGTAGGTAGGTAGATAAGATAGGATAGAATAGACTAGAATAGAATAGAATACAATGATTGATTGATTGATGGATAGATAGATATATGAAATATATGAAATATATGAAATATATGAAACATATTTAGATAGAAAGATAAATAGAAAAATATATGCTTTTTTAGATAGATAGAAAGATAAAGAGAAAGATAAACAGACAGATAGATAGATATATATATATAGAGATAGATAGATAGATAGAAAGATAGATAGAAAGATAGATCGATAGAACAATATATATTTATATGTAGATAGAAAGATCGATAGGTAGATAGAAGGATAGATAGAAAGACAGATAGATAGAAATATAGATAGATAGATAGATAGATAGAAAGATAGATAGAAAGATAGATAGATAGATAGATAGAAAAAATAGATAGATAGATAGATAGATAGATAGATAGAAAGATATACATATAGATAGATAGATAGATAGATAGATAGGTAGATAGGTAGATAGAAAGATAGAAAGATAGAAAGATAGAAAGATAGATAGAAAGATAGATAGAAAATGATAGACATATAAATAGATAGAAAGACAGATAAATAGATTGATAGACATATAGATAGATAGATAGAAAGATACATAGATAGATATCTCTATATACACCCATAATCCCATGTGGGTTAATTTGGTTTGATACGGTGTTTTTCGGTTTCAATGTTTTTTTTTTTAAATGAGGCATAATGAATCATGTGTCTTGACATGGGATAGGGGTCCCCCATTTTCAGACAAACCGATTTAGTGCTGGGATATGTTCACATGAAATTGGAACGTATCGGAATATGTTTTCGAACCATGATTTTGAGATATCATATCCGAGTATGACAAGAATTGCAAGCATTCAAGTGATTCCAGGGTGCAGGGTGGAATTGGAATATGTCTGGTTTTTAGTTCATTGGATCACTTTGAAATGGGTATATGATCATGTCATCCCAACAACACCTTTGGGGATGATGCAAGTTTGTAAGTGGTTTGTTATATCTTGTTACCCATGTTCCATCTGAAACTGGGGACATTCCACACATAACTGCTGTATAAGTACAAGTGGGACGGACCCCCAAGTAACCATCCACACTCAGAAAGCATACTGTATAGCTTGATGACAATATCCCATAGTGTCCATGACAGTATTTCCCCAGTATGGCTGGTTATACACATCCATTTCCCATCCTTGTTTGGGCTGGCCAGGACTGGTTTGCGCAAAATCCCAGCGCGGCACTCAACGAGATGAAACGGATGATGAATCCTACTATTGAGCAGTGGTGAATTACATATTTCTATAGACATTTATCTACTAATTCATACTAACTCTGTATATATATATATATACATACATGTGTATAGTATTTTGTAATGTTTTGGTTGGACGGTATCAAAAATAAGAGCCACTGTCAAAACGCAATGAACAGTTTAAATAGTTTTAACATCAGAAATCCGAGTCACTGCCACCGTCATTGTGTACATTGCCACCGACATTTTTTTTATGCACTGGCATGGCAACTGCAGGGAACATGGCAACTGTCCGTTGCTGGCCTCAGGAGAATCGGCAGAGAATGGAACCAATGATGGAAGGCCGGGGCTGAGATGGCGCTCGTCGGTGGATCCATAGACAAGTCTGAAAAATATGTGTGGTGAAGAGCTGAAATGACTAGAACATAGATTGAAATCCAATCCGTTTGGGATTGAACATGGAACCAGTATATACTCATTCTACATTTACCAACGAAACAAAACATCGGTTCAGGTGTAATACATAGAAGTAGATAGAAGTTACAAGATAAGTGTTTTTCTAACCATGAGTTCTAGTATACACGCACTATGCCAAAGGGTTTGTTTGTTTGTTTCCCTGCGCTCAGAAGCGTCTGAGGCCTGTGATTCAGGCGGCAGGCTGAGATATGCCATGCAAAGACTTTACCTTTGTTCTTGCATTTGTTTGATGATCCCCGGGTGGACTTGATTTCCTCTGCTGCTCTGGCACCACCGGAGCCTGATGCGCCTGTGGCTATTCTCGATGGGAATACTTAGTATGGTCTTCGTTTCCTGTTTCCGTTTCATGTCTTTGCATGGCATATCTCAGCCTGCCGCCTGAATCACAGGCCTCAGACGCTTCTGAGTGCAGGGAAACCAACAAACAAACCCTTTGGCATAGTGCAGTAACTAGGTGTGAAACAAACCCACCTTTTTTCAAAATTCTATGCGATCTGCAAGGAAGTCTTCGCTTCCAAAAAGCGTCAAAAACACCCATAAATAACACCGATGTTGTTTTCCGATCTTGCTGGAGGTTGCTAGACATAAATTCTTTGGAAGTTTTGTTTGGCAAATAAGTCAAGTGTTGGCCAATTTGATTTCGAATTGATCCCCTTTAGAAAACAATTCAAAAATGAAGCTACCATTTCAGGGTTTCACCCCGTATTAGAAAAAAACTAGCCAACCCCGGGGTGTTTCTTAGGGTCCGTCTTTTGAGGTCGAAAACAAAATCGTTTTTTATATCAGGGTTTTAAATTCAATTTAGTATGAGGGGGAAGCTTCGAAATCCATTTTTTGGCAATATTTTAATTAGATTTTAGAAGGAAATTTACTGTAATCGATTTTTGAGATTCAAAAAATTAGTTTTTTATATTAGGGTTTTAGATTTAGTATTAGGGGGAAGCTTCGGAATCCAATTTTTGGCAATATTTTAATTAGATTTTAAAAGGAAATCTAATCGATGATTTTGAAGTAGAAAAACACAGTTTTTTTTTTGGGGGGTTTTAAAATGTTTTTTTTAAAATTTCGTATTATTATTGGGGGTTAGTATTTAGATGGTGGACTTTCAATTGTATCATTTTAGATGACCAGGGGGTATCATTGGGGAAATAGCACGCGACGCACCTTGCAGGCCAGCCAAATTCAAGGCACGGTGGAGTTTGGTGAGAGAAACAGCGACGAGAAACACACAAGGGACAGTTTCGATGTGTCTTTAATACAATTGGAGTCCAGAAAATAGGGATTAATACATTCATATTTCCCTTTTTTTTGGATTCCTGAACATTAAAATAAGTACGTAAGCAGTTTCAGAAAACCATACACAAGTGGAAAAACAACTCGTGAGTGATTGAGTTCCCTGTCTTCAAGGGCGACCCCCATAGCCATTTCAGGTTGTAATGATAAACCCTTGACAGAGTTGGATGGTTTATCCAGTGTCTATCAATGTTTATCTTTCAGTGTCACAGGCCTTATCAATATGTTGAATACTAACTGATGTTGATGTTTTTTTTTACTACTGTTGATGTTTTTACTTATATAATTCAGAATAAACTTTGTTGATGCTGGTTGCCGCAGACTATGGTTTGGTTTGGGGTGGGATTAGTACAAACATGCAACCCATTTCCAGTTTGGGATTGCAATTTGCAAAGATAATCATTACCCTCTGGTAATTTAACATAGCTATTGAAAATGGCCATTTATAGTTGATTTAGCCACTAAAAAATGTGATCTTCAACAGCTATGTTAGTTTTCCAGAGGGTATATCGGTTTCTACTACAGCGTGAGTTGGTACCAACTTTTACTAATCCATAGCTAGTTCGGAATTACAAGGTTTGATCATGTTTGCTGTATGATGAGCGCTACTAATGTTGATGTTTCATTATGAAACTAGTATAACGGGATGCATATAAAAGAATCATAAACTAGCTAGGGGTCATGATAACCACTATATATCCATATATATCCAGTATAGAGAATTGAAGACCCTAACAATGCTTGATGGTTTGACATGTTATTAGCTAGCGATTATTTGATTCCAATATTTTTTAATCGTATCATAAAGGGACAACACTGGGGAAGAATAATCCGCTATAATCCGTTTACTATTGGTAATGCTACTATATTATCATCACTAAATTCTGCTTTTTTTTTTCACTGATACATTCGTATACTTGAATGATGCACCAGCATCGACATTCATATTACATATCAACTCTATCGTTTGATTTCATGGCATATCGTTCTCCGTCAACTACTATTCGGAAATCAATAAGTACATACATATAATATTCAGAAATCAATATGATATACTACATACATATGTATGATATACTGTATCATCCATGGTTAATGAATACATCGTTCCAGGACTTTTATTTGATATAGGTTTGTTTGAACATGGGCTCCCCGATTCCACGGGATAGTCATCCCTGTTTTGTGATAGTATACCCTCGATAAGACACGAGTCATTTATCAGTGCTGTCTTTAATGATGTTCCTTTTCTATCTCTCTTGGGGTTGCTATAAATCCTTTGTTGATGGGATTGGCTGCTCCTACTTCATGGTGGATTGTCACTACGTTTGTACAATGAGTCATTTGATTTTTAGGAAGTAACATATCATGTTTTAACGGGTTCCCTAAGTGGGTTGTCCTATGTACAATATACAACATGCTTATAACATGTTAATTTCCCCACTTACTGTGGGGTGAACCCCACATGTTCATTAATTCACCATGTTGAGTATTTGTTCCACCTTTTTTTGGCAATGAGACCTGGAAAATTATCTCAAGTATCATCTACAACCTCCTCAAAACACGTTTCTATTTTTTTTAAGGATGGCTATACACCAATCAATCTACATGAACCTAGGGTAAACTAACATAGATGTGGAAAAAACATCATGAAAGTGAAAGTAAATATTTTTCCGAACTGGTAAAACACAATGGGTTTTCCACATCTATTTTCAATCGTTTACCCGTTTGGGGTTTCACCCCTGGATTTATAAATGCTGGTTGGTGGTTTGGAACATGATTTTTACTTTTCCATATACTAGGAATGTCATCATCCCAACTGACGAGCATATTTTTTCAGAGGGGTAGGTCAACCACCAACCAGAAATATACTCAAATCACTGACAGTAAGTTGGAAATTCATGGCATTTATGGATGTTTTCCCATTTCAACATCTATTTAGTGCGAGGATTTCCCGCGTTCCAGGCACCCCCCTCTCCTGCGGGCCCTGCGGGCTTCGATGCGGCAGGTGCAGTGATTCAGATGTGCCAGAACTGGTGACTTTATGAATGGCCGTTTTCACAGGGGTTTTCATGGAGATTTGATAGAGTTTAATAAGGTTTAATGATGTTTAATGGACCTACTGGATGTGTCTAGAAATGTAGTTTACCCCAACATGATAATTGGCAATCTTAAGAGTGAAAATATTGAATGATGATCCATTATTTTCAGATATTTTCCGAACCGATGATCCCCAAGTGGGGCCTTCGGGATGCTCCATTTTTTCGGGATGCCCAGGGCCTGAGATGGATTACCAAACCCCTTATACCATCACATATAGATAATGTATCATATTATTAATATAGTGTTGGTTTGTATATATATATATATAAATTGTATATCCCATTAGATATCCCTAGTATCATTGTATATCCTATCATTTATATCATCATTATATATAAATACACATACATACATACATACATACATACATACATACACACATACATGTATATATATATATATTTATACACATACATGAACATACATGAACATACATGTACATACATACATACATACATGCATGCATGCATGCATACATACATAGATACATACATACATATATATATACATAAATTTACGTACATATATATACATAAATACATAAATACATATTTTTATACATATATATATACATACATACGTATATATATATATATATGTATACATACATGTATAGATTCATATCCATACACACATTTATAGATACATATCCATACATACATATTTAGATAAGATACATACATACATACATACATATTTAGATAAGATACATACATACATACATGTATGTAATATACATACATGTAATATCATGAAATATACATACATGTAATATACATACATGTAATATACACACATGTAATGTACATACATGTAATATACATACATGCAATATACATACATTACATACATACATTACATACATACATGCATACATACATACATACATACATACATACATACATGTATGTAATATACATACATGTAATATACATACATGTAATATAAATACATGTAATATACATACATGTAATATACATACATGTAACATACATACATGTAATATACATACATGTAATATACATACATGTAATGTACATACGTGTAAAATACATACACATACATGTAATATACATACATGTAATATACATACATGTAATTTACATTACATACATACATACATACATACATACATACATACATACATTACATACATTACATACATTACATACATACATACATACATACATACATATACATATATATATATGTATATATATATACATACATATACATATATATATATATACCTACATGCATGCATGCATGCATACATACATACACATACACATATACATTTACATTTACATATACATATACATGCACATATACATTCACATATGCACATATACATACACATACATACATTACATACCTTACATACATACATTACATTACACTACACTACATTACATTACATTACATACATTACATGCATTACATACATTACATACATTACATACATTACATACATTTCATACATTACATACATTACATACATTACATACATTACAAACATTACATACATTACATACATTACATACATTACATACATTACATACATTACATACATTACATACATTACATACATTACATACATACATACATACATGTAATATACATACATGTAATTTACATACATGCATACATACATACATACATACATTACATACATACATTACATACATACATGCATACATACATACATACATTACATACATACATTACATACATTACATACATTACATACATTACATACATTACATACATTACATACATTACATACATACATACATACATACATACATACATACATACATACATACATGCTAACCCCTTCTGAAAACTACCGGTTTCAATTTTTCCTTGTTTTGCCTTCAAAGCAACCAGTTTTTTTCATTTATTTGAAGACTTTGGATGCCTTGAACGTGATGAGTTATGATGTTTCATGTGTAGATACAATTGACATATTTTGATGGTATTTGCGGCGTTTTCGACTGCCGTATTGTGCTCCCAACAAAGAGTTTCAATTCATACATAGACAGAATGCGCACGGTGCTGCGGCCAAACGTCAATTTTAAGCTTTGACATGAGTTTTTACAATGTGTTTGATCCTTCTTGTGACACATGAATTTTGGATTCTGGACACCTTCAGATCTTGAAGGCATGTTATTTGATGATCAATATGGTAGATATATTTTTTGCATTTTTTTCCTTACTATGTAGCTTCTCTCTTGTTGTACTACTGCAGTGGCCCAATACTTTGGATGATGTGTGGGTCTTAGGAGGTCCTAGGGCCTCTTGGTTCGTCGTACCCCTTCCAAACTATGTTTTAAGTAATTCTAGGTGACAAGAGCAGGCTTTACAAACAGACACTTTCATTCAAAGGGTGTAGCATTCCTTAAGCAAAAAGAGTTTCCCTTTTCAATAGGTAGCATTCCTTTGCAGAAAACCACTTCTCTTGAAAATATATCTCTTCATTTCGATCAGTCAGTGTTTTTCCAACATGTAAATATGCATTCTTAATTCACAGACCCATTTCATAACGTACTAAGTACAGTACTTCTGGAAGGAAGAAACACGTTGCACAAACAGGCCCTGCAACATACAAGGCATCTTCCAATCAAATGCAGTATCTCTTCAAATCAAATAAGGCTATCTTCAGAAATGTAGCCATTACTTTGAAGAACATACATGTTTTTCTCTAAGTGACACTGCATTTGTTGAAAAACAAGTTGGGTGTTTAAAGAGCATGCTGCACATGTGGCACAAGTACTGCTACATTGTGCTTTCTAGAGTCAGTATGCACTAATGTTTTGTCAGTGATTGTGTATACTTGAAATGAACAAATGTGAGCCGTCTTTGCTTAAACAAAACATCACAAATGCTACCTTTGTGAGATTGACAGTGCCCCTTCTGAAGAAAAGTGACTTGAAAGGGCACAGCATTACTTCAATAAGAAAGCTCTCTTAGTCTATGCAGCATTCACTGGAAACAATAATATAGTTCGAAAAGAGTTGTAGTGTAGCATTACTTTTTTGCAATTTTCCATTGACAAGAGTGGTACATTCCTTAAACATGGTGGGGCGTTCCTTCAAGAGAAAATGCAACATTGCTTTGGCACAGTGTGTTCATTTATTTTTCAGGCTTGGGGAAAAGACCCAAAGTTGAAACTTTTCATGCTAGTTAAGTCAATCCCATCTACTTAAGGGAAAGCCAAGATGGATGCATTTCAACAGGAATGAATTCAGATTGCATTCTTTCCCCAATCTAGGATCTAAGATCTAAGAATTGCTCAGGAGTCTTTGGGGAATCTTAGATTTAAAACCAAGAACCAAGAACCAAGATTTGCTCAGGAGTCTTTGGGAAATCTTAGATTTAAAACCAAGAACCAAGAACCAAGATTTGCTGAGGAGCCCTTGGGGAATCTTAGATTTAAAACCAAGAACCCAGAAACAAGATTTGCTGAGGAGCCCTTGGGGAATCTTAGATTTAAAACCAAGAACCAAGATTTGCTCAGGAGTCTTTGGGAAATCTTAGATTTAAAACCAAGAACCAAGAACCAAGATTTGCTGAGGAGCCCTTGGGGAATCTTAGATTTAAAACCAAGAACCCAGAAACAAGATTTGCTCAGGAGTCTTTGGAGAATCTTAGGTTTAAAACCAAGAACCAAGATTTGCTCCGGAATCTTCGGGGAATCTTGGTTCTTGGTTTTGTTTTGGAAATTCCAAGATTTGTTCAGGAGTCCTGGGGGAATCTTGGTTCTTGATTCTTGGTTTTGGTTCGGAAATTCTAAGATTTGTTCAGGAGTCCTGCAGGAATCTTGGTTCTTGGTTTTGGTTCGGAAATTCCAAGATTTGTTCAGGAGTCCTGGGGGAATCTTGGTTCTTGATTCTTGGTTTTGGTTCGGAAATTCCAAGATTTGTTCAGGAGTCTTGCAGCAATCTTGGTTCGTGGTTTTGGTTCGGAAATTCCAAGATTTGTTCAGGAGTCCTGCAGGAATCTTGGTTCTTGGTTTTGGTTCGGAAATTCCAGGATTTGTTCAGGAGTCCTGGGAGAATCTTGATTCTTGGTTTTGGTTCGGAAATTCCAAGATTTGTTCAGGAGTCCTGCAGCAACCTTGGTGGTGGTTCGGAAATTCCAAGATTTGTTCAGGAGTCCTGGGGGTATCTTGGTTCTTGGTTTTGGTTCGGAAAATTCAAGATTTGTTCAGGAGTCCTGCAGGAATCTTGGTTCTTGGTTTTGGTTCGGAAATTCCAAGATTTGTTCAGGAGTCCTGGGAAATCTTGGTTCTTGGTTTTAGCAGAGAATGCATTCTGAATGCGTTCTTCCCAGAATGCTATCATTGAAGTTAAGTTCAATCAGTCTCAATAGCATACTTCGATAGCATACTTTTTACACTGATGGAATATATATATATATATCTACATTAATACCCTTAGCGTGTATGTAAAGATACCCCTTTTGACCCAACCATCTGATGAATATGTCAAAAAGGTAGGCTTCAGAGGGGGGTACCATATAAATATCCATACATACATGCATGCATACATACATACATACATACAGACATACATACAGACATACATTACATTACATTACATTACATTACATTACATTACATTACATTACATTACATTACATTACATTACATTACATTACATACATACTTACATACATTACATACATTACACACATTACACTACACTACACTACATTACATTACATTACATACATTACATGCATTACATACATACACTACATTACACTACACTACATTACATTACATTACATACATTACATGCATTACATGCATTACATACATTACATACATTACATACATTACATACATTACATACATTACATACATTACATACATTACATACATTACAAACATTACATACATTACATACATTACATACATTATATACATTACATACATTACATGCATTACATACATTACATACATTACACACATTACATACATTACATACATACATTACATACATTACATACATTACATGCATTACATACATTACATACATTACATACATTGCATACATTGCATACATTGCATACATTGCATACATTGCATACATTGCATACATTGCATACATTGCATACATGCATACACATACATTGCATACATTGCATGCATACATTGCATACATTGCATACATTGCATACATTGCATACATTGCATACATTGCATACATTGCATACATTGCATACATGCATACATGCATACATGCATACATGCATACAATGCATACACTGCGTACATTGCATACATGCATACATGCATACATGCATACATACATACATTGCTTACATGCATACATGCATACATGCATACATGCATACATTGCATACATTGCATACATGCATACATGCATACATTGCATACATGCATACATGCATACATGCATACATACATACATGCATACATACATACATTGCATACATTGCATACATTGCATGCATGCATACATGCATACATGCATACATGCATGCATGCATATTTACATACATTGCATACATGCATACATGCATACATGCAAACATACATACATTGCATACATGCATACATGCATACATGCATACATGCATACATGCATACATGCATACATTGCATACATTGCATACATTACATACATGCATGCATACATGCATACATGCATACATACATACATTGCATACATGCATACATGCATACATGCATACATACATACATTGCATACATACATACATTGCATACATGCATACATGCATACATGCATACATACATACATTGCATACATACATACATTGCATACATTGCATACACTGCATACATTGCATACATGCATACATGCATATATACATACATACATTGCATACATGCATACATGCATACATGCATACATACATACATTGCATACATTGCATACATTGCATACATGCATACATGCATACATGCATACATGCATACATGCATACATGCATACATTGCATACATACATACATGCATACATACATACATTGCATACATTGCATACATTGCATGCATGCATACATGCATACATGCATGCATGCATATTTACATACATTGCATACATGCATACATGCATACATGCAAACATACATACATTGCATACATGCATACATGCATACATGCATACATGCATACATGCATACAATGCATACATGCATACATTGCATACATGCATACATGCATACATGCATACAATGCATACACTGCATACATTGCATACATGCATACATGCATATATACATACATTGCATACATGCATACATGCATACATGCATACATGCATACATGCATACATGCATACATGCATACATACATACATACATACATTGCATACATGCATACATGCATACATGCATACATGCATACATACATACATTGCATACATGCATACATGCATACATGCATACATGCATACATGCATACATTGCATACATGCATACATGCATACATTGCATACATGCATACATGCATACATGCATACATACATACATTGCATACATTGCATACATGCATACATGCATACATGCATACATGCATACATGCATACATTGCATACATTGCATACATACATACATTGCATACATGCATACATTGCATACATTGCATACATACATACATTGCATACATGCATACATGCATACATGCATACATACATACATTGCATACATTGCATACATGCATACATGCATACATGCATACATACATACATTGCATACATTGCATACATACATACATTGCATACATGCATACATTGCATACATTGCATACATACATACATTGCATACATTGCATACATTGCATACATGCATACATGCATACATGCATACATGCATACATGCATACATGCATACATGCATACATGCATACATACATACATTGCATACATTGCATACATACATACATACATTGCATACATTGCATACATACATACGTTGCATACATTGCATACATTGCATACATTGCATACATGCATACATGCATACATGCATACATGCATACATGCATACATACATACATTGCATACATTGCATACATACATACATACATTGCATACATTGCATACATGCTTACATGCATACATGCATACATGCATACATGCATACATTGCATACATGCATACATACATACATTGCATACATTGCATACATACATACATTGCATACATTGCATACATGCATACATATATATGCCACATATGGCCCACATGGCCTCTCGTCCTCGTCAGGCATGCCGGGCCCCGGAGGGCAACCGAAAGTCCGCCGGCCAAGATGTCGAGTTTCACCATTCGACAACCGGCTGGGCATTGTGCATTTATATTTATAAAAAACATGTCCGGAGTTGATTTGGGGGTACCCCAAATCACTCAAAATTAGAGCATTTTAGTATTGAAACCCATGCTGACTTGGGGATCCCACATTTTCAGAAACCACTATTTCACTTATGGTATGGTAAAAAAAAACTACCCTCTGGTAATTTGTTGCACTTTGCTATGGAAAATTGTCATTTATATATATATATATACTGTAGGTGATTCACCTATGAAAAATGATGATTTTCCATAGCCATGTTAGTTTGAGGATATCAACATTTCAGTGTTTTTGTTGCCAAGCAAACCCAATTGAGTTGTTTTTTGTCCGTGACTACCACTTTGTCACGGGTGAAGTCAGACGATGGGGTTGCCGTGACTACACATTGAAAGGAGCTAGTGGATCCGCCAAGAATCTGAACCTCAAATTGCGTGACCCTGGCTCAACGTGGTACGGTATGTTCGAGACCTTTGTTTCCATTGTTTTTCTTATTTTCAAGTGATACCGATGGGAGCCATGCCATAGACTCACCAGTTTGAAGGGACCATAGACTCAGGATCTCATCTAATCATTCGAATTCATTGGATTTATTTTGGGTTAAATCTTGACGAATCCGCAAATCGACCTTGGGTGGACCTTGGACAGTTCCGTTGACCAAGGCCAAATTTCCTCCGACTCCTGGCAAGGGGCAGGGTACTTGGAAACGTGACATGTGAATACATGTGTGCGTCCAGTATGATGGGGTACAATGAGTTACCCGGGGATTTTATATGATTTTATCATATTTTATCCATGTTGCTTTGTCATGATCATTATTCTCCCGATGATTTATCCCCAAGGGCCCAAGAAGGGGCCCCCTGTGGTGGCAACAGGTTTACCAGACATGGCGTACAGTTCTGACATGATCATTGATCATTTCCAACCAGTATAGTGGATTTACCATTAAAAATGGTGATGTTCCATCGTTTTTTGTATATTTACTTATTTACCAGTTTTTTTTGCCAATCTAAGGCACAAAGAAAGGCACAAAGAAGTGCACACGGAAAAACTAAAACGTGTTGATTTTTTTGTCGAATCAATTGGGGAAAATGCGCAAAGTACATCACAGTAAGCAGTTTCGTTTTTCGAAGAAATTAAGAAATGGGTATGGGTCAATACCTATAGATACATTTTAGTGGGATGAACATCCATTTACCAGCTATTTTGATGTTCACCAGGGGTACCAGGGTTTTGACCCATCCCCAAATTGCCATGTGAAAATGTCCTGAGCGGGTTTGAAAATGAGATACCCTCAACTCCACTGGTTGATCAGAATTTTCCGTTGGAAGGGCGATTTTGGGGAGTCAGCTGCCCCAGTTGCAGAGTGCTGCCCCAGTTCGTCAGCTAAGTTGCTTTAGAAATCCAATAGCTTGGGCTTCTGGTGGTCATTCTGTGGATAGTTGCGAAATCTGCACCAGTTGATAGATGGTTTATCCCATGATTTTTAGGGTGTCAATCATCCTTTTGGTGGTGCAGGATTTCTTCCATCCACAGTATCTATATGTAATGGTGGTTATGGACCAACTTACAACTGGGGGGTACCAGCCTATGAAATATATCCCTGATATTCCCTCATCCCTGATATGCCCTGGTACAGCCATATTTCCCACATTTTATGTTTGGTTTTATGCCGCTAGCCGCTAGTCCATCGGTAAATCCACCAATTGATCCAATTGGTCGTATCAACCATATCCCAGTACTAGTCATTAAATTGTATGTGATTATATGTCCAATTATGGTTGGCATACATCAATGATTATCAATACTGATGAATCATTGTCAATCATTATCAATCATTTTCAATCATTATCAATCATTATCAATCATTATCAATCATTATTAATCATTATACACCAACCATGAATGATACCATCATATTGTTCCAAGGGGAATATGGGTGTGTCTGAAAATGAGGTACTCCATGAACCATCCACTCAGTTCATCATCATATTTCCACCTATTATTTATATATACTGATTGGTGGTTTCAAACATGTCATATATGGGATGTCATCCTTCCCATTGACAAACTCATATTTTTCAAGATGGTTATTGCACCACCAACCGGTGATATATCACCAAGGTTAGTAACCTTAGTGTTCACTCCTAAAAATCCGGTTTGGGGAGTTGCACGATTTGTTCCACTCCCATTTTCAGCAGCAACTTTTGTCATTGACCAACAGGAATGGGCCCCAGTTCGTTAGCTAAGCTGACTTGTAACTGTTTTTTTTGTTGGGGATATAACTATAGTTACTTTAGTTACTACCTTTTACAAACCAACTTATAACTAGGGGGGATTTTCTGAACCAACGTTACCCTCTGGTAATTCAACAGTTTGCTGATTTTCAAATGGCCCATTGAGTTCGTTGATTTACCTAATTAAAGATTGTGGATGTTCCATAGCAAAACTGTTAGTTTACCAGAGGATGAATGGACTAGCAAATCATTGATATAATGTGTTAATCCCAGCAAAGCTGGGATTATTCTTATGGAATAAGTTCAACTTATAATATGTTAACATATGTGGTTCACCCCCTTGGAACAGTGATATATTTAAGTTAACAGTTAACGAACAACATGTTCGCTTGGAATATCATATGCATATAATCTGTGAATCCCAACAAACTGGGATTAATCATGGAATAAAGTTCAACTTATCATATGTTAACATTAATGCTAACTATAGGTGGAATTAATATGCTAATATATTTGGTTGGTCATTCGCTCAGGCCCTGGAAGTCGCCTCCAGCACCACCACCCTCGCAGTGGGAGACTTCCCCACAGGCGGAGATCACGGATCGAGGATCATTTACCGTTCTTATTGAGATACATACATTCGTAACTTAGTATGGGCATATATATTATATACATGTATATACATATATATATACATAGTATGCAGATATTATACTAAGATGAACTGCCCATAGAGAATATCAAAATGAAAACATATATATATACATACATACATATATATAATGAAAAGATACATGAGGGCTTCAACCATCTAAACAGATGGCGATTATCAAACCTCTGGGATTTGGGAGTAATCAAAACCCTCTGTAAATTCAGTTGTAAATGGACCGTTTTCCATGGGGACGTTGATTTAACGAAGGCTAACCTCAATGTGAATCCCTCTTTGCTTACCCCAAAGTTCGATAGTTCATGAGATGGGATGAGTCAAAAATAATTACGCACCCGCTGTTTGGTACTCGGACATGGTAATGAGAAATGCCCTATAAATAGACATTTAAACGGAAAAACAAAACATATTTGTTCATGAAATGTATATTTAACAATCAGATATGTTAATCGATGTTAATCGCAAAAAACATATTTATTACATTTACATCGATGATTTTCCCAATTGGATGCCCTCAATGCTAGTTCGGGGATGTCCCAGCTATGGGCTGACCGAAGACTTCATCGTGGTTGGAGTTGATCACCCAGACTGTCATTGGTGTATTACTATGTTTAACATTGTTTAACCGTTGGTCAAAGCTGATCTCGGTCTATAAGCCAACCAAAAAAAACTGCGGGGGTAGCACCTGGTAGTAATTCGATGTAATTTTCCCATAACTTCTTTTGGTACGTAGAATTGATCCTACTACCTTTGGACATCCAGGATTTTTTTTTATCACGGCGCGGCATGTGTTAAGCCGACTGCTTGGGCGTTGCGACTACCAAAATATGGCTGGCTCAAGGTTGGTAGTCAACCTTGATTTGCTGAGTATTCTCCCAATGGGAACTCGACTACTTGGGGAATCTATAGGGAATATGTTTTCTTTCTTTTGCGGCTTGTCATACGCAAATTCAAGTATATGTTGCTAGAGGTTTAGCGCTTATGATTCTTGATGTCAACAAATGGGATGCATGGTCAATATCATGTGATGGTTTGTCTTGTTCTTGTTTTTGTTCTTGTTCTTATTGTTGTTGTTGTTGTTGTTGGTACAAACAAAGACTGGGGCCCTGTTGTTGTTGTTGTTGTTGTTGTTTTAACAAGGGTTGGCTCAATTAGCATCCGGAGGAGACATCTTGAAAAGGTTGCTAACCACCTTTACTAACCACCATCAACCCCACCAAACAAGTGTTTGTTAAAGCTCCTATTTCATGACCATTCAACCAACCCTGCAACATGATCTCCCCAATAGGCCCAATATAACCATCTCAGATTGGAGGCGAGCCCCATCCGGTTTCATCAAACATCGAAATCCCATAGAAATCCCAGATTTCCATGAGGAAAATCCATAGACATCAATAATTAGGTTGGGAAAATCCATAGATATCCATAGAGGTTTCATAGATATGTTTCTGATTTTCCCATTGAAACCTCCATTTTTTGGGATTTCCCAAACGACAAAAACCGGGGGATTGCCTTAGCCTACCTTCAGGCGCCGCGTCCGGATCGTTCTGAACAGCATCCACAGGATCCGCCGAACTTGCCCCACGGGCACTACTGAGAGCCTACGGAACCTACGGACGGAACCGCTGGAGTACGGTGACTTTGATGAGTGAGGTATGGGTCAAACATTCGACTGGTTGGTGGTTTCAAACATGAATGAATTATTTTCCATTTCATATATGGGATGTCATCATTCCTATTGACTTTCATATTTTTCAAGATGGTTAAAACCACCAACCAGTAGATGTTGTTTCCCCTGCAAAAACGATAAAACATGTTGTGAAGTGACCTTTTCACATGTTTCAGAAGCAAATCTCTTTAAATCTTGGGTCAGTTTGAACCATACCCAGATTGGAATCTGAAGAAAGCACGTCAGCCGAGGAGAACGGACTAAAAGAGAAGACCAGGTCAATTGAAATTGTTGCACAGTCATTTGCCCTGTGGCGTCTTGCCACTCATTTGAATATGTTGTTTTCACTTTTTGTTCACAGTTGGAAGGTTTTGCAGGAATTGGCTTGGAAAAAAGGCCTGAGTCGTTGAACTTCAGTGAAACTTCATGTTTTTTTTGACAGAGATGCACTGCGCGATACAGATTTGGGACAACACACTCTGTGTGAGTGTGTTCTTCTACATCCCAAGGTAAGGCCAGGACGCATCCCTCAGAGGACTTTCCTTCATCGTAGGACTTCGACCCGTGGGTCTAGATGTGATTTCCTGAATAGAGTGCCTCTGGTGCATCCCACTAGGTGGATAATAACTATGGTTCAGCCCATTTTTCAATCCATATATATATATATTTATTATATAATATGTATATATATATATAGTATGAATATAATGTAGTATTATATATATATACACAGATCTACATATTGAATATCCCCAGATATCCCTATCCCTACATGGATACATGGCTTGTATATGGGCTACTTTTTTTTAGCAGCTCGAAGACGTGGGATGCACTTGCAGCTGTGGCAGTAGAAAAACAGCTGGCAGATCACGCGAATCGCAAACTCACTGGTTGGTTTGTGATTTTTGGTCAGCATGATCCAGCCCTGAATCGACATCATAGATTGGATGGATCTATGGTGACACAAGTTGTGCCAAAATCTGCGGCCAGCTGCGGCGCAGCACGGCAATCGCAGCAGCTGATTTGCACGGAGAAACCGGAGGCATATTTTTTGGAGATGGGTATGGAGCTCCATGCAATCAGATGCAATCAGTATTTCTTTTCTCCGGATTGAATCATGGTACATCACCCATAGGATCATATAGGATCCATGGTGCTGGTATATATGCTAACATTTGGGGTATATTGATGGTAAATGTTACCATATATAGCATACATGGATCCTACGGGTCAACCCGTTTACCGCTTTGCAGCTTTTTTAGCCCATCAGTGCAAAGAAATGGGCAGCGACGATGGCTACATAGGCCTGGCACTTACACGAAAATGACAACAATTACAGGGGAAAGGTAGAATCTTGGAATCGTTGGTATTTGCCACACTATATATATATATATATATACAACCCTATAATGGTATTATATATATATATATATCATACCCAAACAATCCAGCGTAGGCAACTATTGCATACATTCGGCAGCGTTGCCTCTAGGATATGACATTGGCTATATACAGCCCAACGTTGCCTCTAGGAGGCGACATTCAAAACCCATGTGATTCCGACAATTTCCGATACATTCCAGCACCAGCCACAGTGGATCAAGATGTCTGTTTTTTCACTTTCCTCAGCGAGATCTATCCTCTTGCATGGCTAAACTGGGATGTCTTACCCTCAGCAGCCAGCGGAGAACACACCTCATCTCTAAAGTTTGTCCTTGGATAGCCAAATCATGCCACCAGCAAACACGCACATTCATGTTACGGCCCCCAAAGATCCCCATATATTCATATAATGAGGAAAATAGTTGGTCAAAAACAAACAATAATCTTATCCAGAAGTTTCGATGAACGGAACGTGCCAACCGTTTCATCTGGCCCATAAAATCCTCGTCCATATATGTGTGTGACCCTCCTTAGATCTTGAGCGGGGAGGAGCAGGGGACAGGGATAGTACTTACACTGGACCCAATAGAATACACCAATATTTATATTCAAGCCGAGGAACTCGGGTTTTCTTTGAAAACCCGGGCCTCAAAGATGATCTCCATAAAGACCTTATAAGCGCATCCATATCTTGCAACAGCAAAACCATATCTCCCAAAGTTCAACGGGCTGTGAACGGCATCTTTGCTGCCATGGTACGTGGGCCTTCGGCTTCAAAGGGTATCTTCGGTTCCCCAGCTGCACGTGGTGGATAGCCAGGAGCTTGTAAGTTTTCAAGAACCTCCAGTTCCACAAGAGATGATGCATCTATATATTAGTCTATATTCTTAGATATATTTGTGGGTTGCTATGATAATATTCAATATCCATAAGTTATCATAAGGGTCAAATATGCAATAATATTGCCTACGCTGGATCGTTTGGGATTGAAAGTATGCAGTCAAAGTAGCTTCCTTCCATCATGGTACAATTTGTCTGCTTGTTCATCGGACAGAGCATGTGGATATTCTTCCACCAGCAAGGACCAATTCGAAAATTGAGTTGTGGCGAGAGCGACCAGATCTAGATCCACCGAACTTTGCCCAACACAGGACTTCTCCCTCTGTAAATTTGTCAAAACCACTGCTAGAAAGGATGTCATGATTCGGGAAGCAAAAGCTTTCAAACGCAATTCTGCGTAGTCCGTCAGGTTCAGGTGTCCCTTTGTAATCCAAGGTTGTGAGTGGTTGATCCCGTGCAGACGGCACCAGGTGTGGAACCGAAAGGTAAATATTTCCATGTGGGTCGGCGATACGGAGGTAGACCGATCACCTGCGCCAACGGATGTGCAAGTGGCCGTGGCTGGGCTGGGAAGCACCAAAACAATACCCCCAAAGTAGCTTATTACATGGGTTCTCAAAAAACAAATTGCTCAAGCAAATTTCCTGAACCAAACCATCCGCATTCCACTAGGGTGAGCAAGCCCCCAGCATTGAGATTGTGGAGCAACCCTAGGTGCATCGTATGCATAAGGCAATACTTCAGCATCGACGGCTGGAAACCGGCGATAAAGCTGATTGGACAGATATATCTCTTCCTTGGAACCAGCCAATGGGCATTCGCCGGGTTGGTGATTTTTGAACTAGACAAAAGGTGTGGGGCGATCTTCTCATTTAATGAGACTTGAGCCAGGGCCAACTTACTTACTCGTTCCCTCTTTTTCTCTTTGGATCGATCGTGTTTAAGACTTGGGCCAGGGCCAAACTACTTATCCCTTCCTTTTTTTCCTCTTCAGCGCTGGATGAGTTGTAAGACTTGAGCCAAATTACATGGGTCAGCATATATGTCAGAATCTTATCCCTTCCTTTTTCTCCTCTTCAGCGCTGGATGAGTTGTAAGGCTTGAGCCAAATTACATGGGTCAGCATATATGTCAGAATCTTTGTGTCAGGTTACACGATCTGAGAAAGAACCAGGAAAGCAGCCAAAACAGGGCACAGAGGGCACAGAGTTAACACCGTTAACAGCAAGATTAGGAGGCAAGAAAACAGTCAACATAAGCGGGCTCCTGATGTCTTGAGTGTAATGTAATGTTCTTTGCGGCTGAGAGACAGTGCCACATCAAAGAACTGCCTGGTGGTCAGTCTGGGGATGGACTCAAAGTCGTCGAACCGAGTGAACCTCAGTTGGCACATCACCAAGAACATAAAACTGCTGGAATGATTCGGTGTAAGGCCCCCTCCCCTGGGGAGTGAAGTTCCCGGAAATAAACAATCAATATTGGCTTACATTCCAACTTTTATATAAAGGGGATTGTACCACCCAAGCTATATACTTCCAACTGCACCCCGAAAAAAAATCTTTGCCAAATATTGCGGTTAGAACCATACCATGTCTCACGTGACCATTTCATAAGAAGAAAACTCTTTTGTCTGATGTATAATGTAAGGAACATATTTGGGCCTGGTTCAGCATCGGCTCGGCATTTGAAGCAAATGCCCTTTTTGTGTTTCCAATAGTGTTTCATCTGCCAACTTTCCCACAGCCACTTCCAGTCACCCCTGAGGAAGGTTGAATCCCAAAATAGTTTGCTATAAACCAAATCATTGAAACAACGCAATATTTGTTTGATCCCCAATGCCTCACTTGGACGAGGCAAAATGGTCCCCCAGCAATCGGTTTTCCTGCCATAGCTGACCGTGCTGGTGGCAAATCGCGCCCTTTCCAGTCTCTCGACGGAAACACCCCACTATATGCGACCTTACATGGTTTGCTTCTTAAGATAAATATAATACCAAAAAGTACCCTCAATTAAGGGTGTTTTATTGGTGCTGCGAATTTTAGCTATTTTGTTGGGGATGCCAAAATCAACATCAAAATCAAAAAAATGATAGACCCAAGCAATTTTGTTTTGGATTCCTGATATATCCCAAGTCGGCCAACATAATACAGTCGCGATGTTTTGGGTTTGCTTATTAAATTGAAAATCCTGGCACGTTCAAGCTCCACGCCATCACTCTGAAAATTGGATCCAATGTCTTGTTGCCCTTCAAGCAGATTTCGTGCCGCACGGCTGCGATAAGGAAGCGCCGGTTCACGCTCATATCGCCTTGGTCAAATGGAGGATCGGTTTCCCGACTTTGCTTTGAGTACTAATCCTGGTAAAGGATGTTTTTTGAGGAACATTAATGCACTGACACTTGACTGGGTCCCATTAGAAGATCAAGGAACTGTCAACAGAAGTAGCCTTGGTGGATTGAAGCGCTTGGTCCCATAAGGGCAGATTGAGGACAATCACCACAACCTTTGCACCACTCAAAGTATATTTAGCGTCATCCCCGCCAAGCCCCAATGGGCAATGGGATTTTGATTCTACTCCCACATGGTAGGGCTTGTTGGTCTCCCAGTGTGACCAAAAAGCGCGTATGTCTTCTCTGGAAATTTTCACTTTTCCATTCGTGAACATGTAGTGCAAAATTTCGTGCGGCAGAATGATTGGCACTCGTAGTTGAACAACTCGACGACTAGCACCAGGGACTTTGGATCTGTCCCGGACTGGAACCTTGATGAAGAACGGTTCCTTAGATTACACACCATCACATGAGATGGTATTTATATATATATATAGTATACATATATAGGCTTCCGCTATATTAAGAGGTTGAAATCAAAATATCCCCCAAGCAAATGTGAAGACGCAATTGGTAGGTCTAATAAGCGAAAAAGATCGCGCTCACAATTAGCTGGGTAGCGCCCATGACAGCCGAGTTGTGCTATAGCCCTTGTCATGCTTGAACAGTTGCCACCACATTCTTTAACCATGGCAGCAGCTGATTGTTGAAGCTCACTAACGGACATCGCCCCCCTGCCAAGGGTCGCCAGCGCATGATCTGCCCAGGCACTGGAATCGTTCTCTTCACCTGCGTGGGCCGACAAGCTGGATATGGAATTTGATGACATGGAACTACATTGGCATCTTGGCTTGAAATGGCTTTTAAGCTCACAAATGCTAGTATTATTTTTCCTCTCTCTCGAGCCACTGATCGTGTTTGCAAAATTGAGTTGGGATGTTTCACTGCCAACTCCATACCATGAGCTCATTCCCGAAACTTCGAGGCCTGCCCCCCAGCAACAATTTTGTTTTTAACAACTTGGTTGGGACGAAGAAACAGGGTTGAGTTGCAGCGGCATCCAGTAGTGGGTACTATGGCCTGGCTTCAGGTTCACAAGATTTGTCAGGTTTTGCAATGCCTGGATTGGCGACCTTGGCTGACTTGTATGTTTAGACTACAGACTGCATATTTCACCAAACGAAATCAAGACTATCGATATTTGGTCTTTTGTACCGAACTACTTTCCAAGGCATGCCAGAATCCAGTGTCCATTGGATAAATCTGACTTCCCCCAACCGCTGGCCAGGAGTCAAAGCATGTGGTCATTATGAAACCTGAACCAATATAAATTTGTCAGGTAGAGTGTCAATACTCAAAAACCTGGCCAACAGCTTGCCCGATTCGAGGCATCCTAAGAAGCTGCCTCTGCCCCAGCCCCGCTTGGAGCCTTGGCTTTAGCCTTTGGCTTCACGGCATGCTTCTTGCAATACTTAGCGGCTTCCTTGTAAGACAATACTGACTGACATAACTTCTGGGTTTCTAGGCGGATCTGCTCATCCTCCTTCCCACTAGCGACAGACCCTTCCAGCACTTGGCGGTCAGATTCCAACGTAGCCAAATACTTGTTGCAGTCGTTCACCAGGGCATCGATCATGTGCTGAGGCCTGAGTGAAACAAGTGGATTTGTAATTTCAGTGGTGATAGCCACCAACTTTTTTTTAATGTGTGCATCATAAGATCCCTGCGCGCCAGCGTCGGTAAGGCGGGTTTTCCAACTCTTGCACTCAAGGATGCAAGTTGCAGCATCTTTCATAGCCTGAATTGCTCAAATAGTGTTGGGCTCCCAGTATGAACATCAGGCGCTCAGTTGATTAAAAAGTAATGAAATCCTGGGAGCTTTGGTAGCCTCCTGACCAGCGGTCTTAGCCTTTGGAACTTTGGGTGCTGACTTCGGCTTGGGTTTGGGCTTGGGCTCCGGTGCTCCACTTTTTGGCTCTGCAGCCACCTTGAGATGCCCTTCTGGCTGACCAGCAGTCAAGGGCTCATGCCTGCAGACTAAGGTGAAAATAAAACGGGATCAACCAAGAGTTGGCAAGTAGGTGTTTGTCTCTATATTGAACAAAATTGGGGATGCGACATCAACGCTTTGGCAGTAGCTTGATCAAGGTGTCCGGTGGAAGTGGTGGAGATACTGTTGGCCCTGAGGTTGGTATCCTTCTCTTCCATCATTGACCAACACCAGTACCCCCTCAAGTCCTGCCAGTCCATTTGCGGGATGCTAATAATGGATTTATAGTTGTGTATGTTCCCATGAAAACTGGAAGCAAAAACAATATGCTACATGGTGCGTCCTGGTTGTTTGGAAAATCTGGGTTGGACACCCACAACCCTGCTTCGGTCTTGCGCGCCACGAGATCATCAACCAGAGTGGCATCGTTGTACTTTTCCATCAGATCCTTAATCTCATGAACATAAAAATGCCATGAGGTATGTTGCATGGAATGAATAACAAGTTCAATATATAAGTACAAGTCAGCAAAGCTGCTGCTTTGCTCATGGTTTTCCACAAACCTGTGCGGGCATGTTCTCTGGTGGAGGTGGTGCTGATCACAAGGTCAGACTTTAGCCAGTCTTCACCACATTGCACAAACTGATCGTAGAGCTTGTCGAACTCATATTGATCCTTGCCTGGAAAAAAACACTCATCGTGATTTGGAAAAAAGCCCTCCTAGGATTTTCCATTCTTATGCATGCTGAATGTTTCTCAAAGTGAGGGATGCTCGAAAATTATCTGAGTCGTATTTGTTTAGATATTTTCGATCATCCATCATTTTTGCGAAATACCCATTTACAATGTTGGTTGATATGTCTTAGGCAGTCACTGGCTTGGGCTTCCTTGATTTTCTCTTTGATGATCGCTGGGCAACGCGAACCTAAGAAAACGGAAAACTCAAAGGGTCAAAGGGGCGGCTTATACCATGGTACGGTTGTAGATGCAGCGGCTACCAAATCTAAACATCACTTTGAAACCCAAGGGGCTGCGAACAGACCTGTGGAACCTTCCCTTCGCTGCACGTCTCCTTTTGAACTTGACCGTTTCCTCATCTTCCTTAGGGTGTGCATGTGTCTGTGTGTGTGCATGGTGCATGACATGTGTATGTGTGCCCATTAGTTGGAAACTGAGGGCTTGTCTTCCTGTGGCAGAGATGATGGTGCTGGTGGTGGCGCAGCCGGCGTGCCGGCAGGAGCAACGGGTGTGGGTAGAGGTGGGTCACTACTCATCAAATCCACTGTGGTGGCACGTGCAAGTGCTGCAGATATCAACCCAGCTCCCCCCGTTTCACCTTCCTGATTCACAGTAGCTGGTGCGTCCCCTGGATTGACAACAGGTTGTAGGGGTGGAGTGCTGGTAGCTGGGACCACCACATCAACTGATCCTTGAGGGGCATCTTGAGAACCCACAGATGGCGGAGCCATGGTAAGGGCAGCTGCATCTGGAGAAACCACACTGGCTGGAGTCATGCTAGCGGTCACTGGGGTAGCTGCAACTGGGACCAGACCTGATCCTTGAGGAGCATCTGGGGAAACCACAGGTTGGGTCATAGTAGCATCTGGGGTCGGAGCTGTTACCGGAACCACATTGGGGGTGGGGGTAGCAACCGCATTCACCGCATCATTGGATCCACCTGCGCTGGTAGCAGATGGGGGGGAGACCTGAGCACTGGTTCCTGTGGCTGGGGCTTCGGGCGATGCAGCTTCACCAGGGCTCATGTGTTTGGACTGTGGCACCTTGAACTTGGACCAGTAGGCAATCATAGCTCTCGTGGGGGTAGCGACGGGCACAACCGTAGTATCATCAACTTTCTCCTCTCACCGGTGCCATCAAAACTCAATTTTATATGTGATATTCCTGCCCACAATTACCCCTGGAAATACAGACCCCTGTTGATAGCAAACCCGTCCTTGGCTTCATTCAGTGCAGTGGTGGTGCCAGGTTCCTGAGCAAATAGCTGGTGCTAGTAGTTCCAAAGACCTAACCCGGAAATGACACCAATTTTGAATTCCAAAAAAACATTTTGGGGATGACTGGTGGTCCAAAGCACTTCCACTCAAACAAAACTTAAAAGGGGGTTGAAGCTTAGTTTCAGCAGGCTTGTCTCTCGACGATCCAGCAGCTGAAATGGCAGCCTGAGCGGTACTTGTTTGTACTTTCTGTGGTTCCCATTATTGCTCTCTAAGTGGCACGCTGGTGCAAGATAGTTTCCAAAAAAAAATCACACATATGGGAGTAAGGTTCTTACCGCTAAGTGTTCAGCAGCATGCGGGGAGAATGGAACAGTCGGCAGTGAAGACATTCTGCCCGGGGACGGACTGTCCACAATTTCTTCCCCAACCATCTTTTCCCAAGACCCAGGAATCCATTGGTGGATGGTCCGTGGGTGGGAATCAGGTTCCTCTGGCGAAGGTACTGGGACATCGATAGGGGCCATAGGCACATCCAAGCTTTCACCTCAGTGGGGGAGGTAACAGCCATGATCGACCATGTAAGAGTTTCTTTTTATTTTGTTTTATATTTATACATATCTATCTATCTATCTATCTAACTATCTATCTATCTATCTACCTATCTATTTATTTATTTATCTATCTATCTATCTATCTATCTATTTGGTATATATATACTGTTTGATTAAAAATAAACAAATATATACAAGTATCTAGTCGGGCTTTAAGGACCTAGAACCTAGAAGCAAAACATAATCAAGCATATCTAAGCTTCTTTCAGCGGCTTCCAATTTACCAATCAAATTTTGCACCACAGATTCATCACTGGCTGAACCCATGGAAGACGAAGTCTCCGCTCGTGACAGTTTGGCATCTGGCGTGACCTTTTCCACTTGGATCACATCCTCCCAAGTACAAACGTAAAAAAAAACATGGGGATCCAATAACGTAACATCATGTGGTCCAGCGAGAAATGCCATGAGCAATGTCTTTTTAAAATGTAAACATCGCTGTTCCCAAAAGATGACCAAAAGTTTGTGTTATGCTTTCTATCTAGTAGTTAATAACGGTCCCTGTACTTTGCCTGAAAATTTCATGGGCCCAGTAATAACCACAAATATTATATAGCGCAATGGTGTTGGAATCTCCTTGTCAACTTTCTCCTTCTTCCGCTTCTGAAGCGGCTCCGGAGCTGCGCGAGGACCACTGGCAAGAGCAGCCGCCTTTTCACGACGTAGCGCAGCAGCATTGAGAGCTGCTGCCACCTGACCAATGAATGAGGGTGATAAAATGGTAAAACTAGTTGACCAGTTGGCCAGGCATGAACAAGTAAATGTTTGGGTTACTCCAGCCTTGCATTGATCCCCGTAATCTGGGTCCGAACTCATCTTCAACAGATCAGCCTGGCTTTCCCTAACACCAAATGGCTGCACAACAAGTTCGATGGTGTTATGATAATGCAAGCTTGCCAAGCAATGCGGTACTGACCACAGCTCAAACATATTACAGACACGCGAAATTATGCGTTACTAGCGGTGCCTTTCTTGGAATTGCATCCCTTAGGAACGTCGACTCAACACCCACATGACCCCGTCACGGTCTCGTCACGGTCTCGTCACGGTCCCGTCCCCTAGGTTCGGATCCGACAAACCATGTTTCCTTTTACTTTTAAATTGCATCCGACAGAATCCGACAAAATCCGACAAACCCTCGTCACGGTCTCGTCACGGTCTCGTCACGCTGCACGGTTTGCACCAGCCCAGTGAATTGTTCATTTTTTTCGTATCAACACACCCCACACACGTTCGATGGGATGTGTTCACATGAGCTATCATCTAATTTTGTTGCTCTGTTTTACATGAGCAACCACCTAATTTCTGAAATGGTCATGGTGCTCTAGGCATGGCCCACTAACCCAATTGTATCCCATATAAAGCCTGATTTTAATTAGTATATGAAATATGCTGATACCAAAATCCCAGCATACCCATTTACATTACGAAACAATTTTGTTGGTGTGGGTTCCACTTCTACATCTAGACACCGGTGTATTTGCTTGTTTTGGGACAGGACCTCTAGGTGCACCATATTGAAACATCTAAAATCTAATGTCCGCACCACTGTGTTTACAGTGGTAAGGACGGGTTGGGGTGGAATCGCCCTTCATCCATGGCAGCCACCAGCATATCCCTGAGAGGGCCCAAATTAGCATGTTCCCACCCAAAGGGTGCAGTTGCTGGAACCCAGGTAGCATCGGGCTGTGGAAACTCCGGAGCTTCCTCGTGTTCCTGGGCGAAGCCAGTAAGGGATATGCAGTTGGGGGCTGGAGGTATATAAAGGATCCTGGAATTTCAAAGGATATAGCTGCACCAAAAATAATCCTTGAAGGATCAAATCTGTTCATTGTATATATATATGTGTGTGTGTGCATTGAAAACAGATGGTGTCTTTTATGTGGAAGTTGGGGATAAGTTGCGGTTTATGGAAACAGCCTAAAAGCAACCTAAATATATATTGCTGTTCATTCCTAAAATTTCCAAGTTAGAACAAATATTTTTGGGCATGGATGATATTAAGTGGTTAGATTTGGTTGGGGCACTGAGACACTCTTATTCCCATACGAAAACAACAATGGGGCACTCCTATTCTCACCAAGATAGGACATCGCTACCCTTGGCTCACTCCTACTATTAAATAAATAAATAAATATATATATATATCCAAAAAGATAATGCGCCCGCACGCATGGGGTCAATCCACCAGAACTAACAATTTTCTTATTGGTTTCGCACCCCCAAAAAAAGACCCCCGCTATCCACAAAACACGCAGCAAAACGCTAGGAAAAATGCTATTGGGGAGTAAACTTGCGGGGGTCTTTTCTTGGGGTGGCAAACCAACAGGAAAATTACAAACCAGAACTGTAGCAGAACCTTTTATCGGTTGTTGCCTCTGGGTTTAAAATTATTACGCAAGCTGTGTTTGCATTATCTTTGCCATGGCCGGTATCTTATCAAACATAAATGAAAATCAAATTGCATAATGGTCACAGAGTAACATGCTAAACAATCAGCAACTTCCCCAATGGGCTTTCGTGCAAAAAGCCAACAAGTCCCACATTTTGGATTTATCTGGGCAATCCCTGACTTGGAGAATCATTCCGCCTAGCCATGGGGTTATGTTCATTTATCAATAATAGTGTCATCTCGGCCAGCTACCACATGGAGTGATCCTCCAAGTAAGTTCCAGAATAGACATATATTTCGCGGTCAATTATTGTTATTAATCGTTTTTTTCCAAAATTATCACAACATGTAAAGCGGTCTGCACACAAACCCCAGATAAGACTTGAAATGAAATCGCGGAAAACCGAATTCAAATTAATGGTTCGTCATTTCCACTGGATGTCCATTCTCCACACCACAAACCATGGAGCCATGTGCTGGCGCAGAACAAAGGCAGCAAACGCCTCTGGATACTCGCCGGATTTCTTCAAGGAAGGTCCACCGGCCCTGGCCGGTCATGCCGGAAGTGTTGCTGTTCAGGTACCGTTTGAAACATAATAATGTAATATATATTGGAAAACACTGGGGTAGGGACACAGATTTTCGGCCCGACTTCGATATCGTCTTCTTCACCATATCAGGGTGGGATTTCGTCCCAGCAGTCCGCTTCGAAGGGATATCATTGATCCATTTCCTTGGGAACCAACAGTGGGTTTAAACTATGAACTATTCTGATAAGAAGCTGGGTTGTTTGTGAAATATTTGGCAATCTATCTAGGCACCAGGCGCCGATCCAAATACATATGAAGGCTTGGCCGACCAATGGTTGAATGTAGACATCCAACTCAGATGGGCGCATCTTTAATTAGCCCAACAACTATTTCAACACAGCCCAGTGCACATATCCACGTGTCAGAAGATAAGCCGAGAAACAACCTCTGGAAAGCAGCTGCATATCTGGAGACCAAAAATTGGATATAAGGCCAATAAATCAGTAAGCTGGATGATGGTTGTTCTACCTTGGAAGGAATATGTTGCCAATGTTGCATGTGTCATGACACAGTGATACATGTCACTAGAGACTGACCCCCCATCTTATATCCAACTAAGTTGCTGCATAATTGCAGCCCAGCACTAAAGCCAGCATTGCTAACCTTGTAAATCTTGTGGAGATGCAATTGCCACTCCGAACGAAATCGGTTCCTTGCTGGATCTCTGAGGAAAAACATGCAGACTTCAACAGTCATGATCCGATGATGTGACCATGCGCTGGGTACACACAAGAAAATTAAAGGCATAATCAAATAGATGCAAGCAAGAGTCTTTGATCACCCATGATGCTGATGTATCGTCCGTGCGTACCAGAGCTTACCCATATCCAACTTAGCTAGCCAGAATCACGTTGAAATTTCTCAACCTACATGGATCTTGTAACAAACTAAGACGACCATGTTTGATCATTGAATTTCATGCTTTTTTGATGTTTTTACAAGACACCTGCAGCATGGAACTCCTCCCCATAATAATCCACCACGTCGAAGTCTCATGGTATCGCGGATAGCCCACAAGAAACCCGCCGTGGACCGAAAGTCGTTCACTTCACCTCGTCCTTGCCAGTCGTACCATTGCCTAAGACAGCACGTGGAACCAACAGGAGTCATGTGGAACTCGCTGGGCAAAAACTGGGGCTTCTGCGACTTCAAGCCGCGGGACCCTCAGGCAAGCGCAGGGCGAGAGAGGTGCAAGTGGTTTTCTTTTGACATAATCCCTTTTTATGTTTTATTAACATACAGTTATATCATCGATATTATATTGATACAATATATGTATGTATATATATATATGATTTCAATTTGAAAGCTTGTGTTGCATAATAAATAATATTTGTATAATAGATTGCCACCTGAAAGGGAGGACCGAGTCCTGCACGATATGTAGATGTCAGCTGGCCACATCCGCTAAACATCTCCAGAAGATATATATCCTGAGTAGCAATTTTCCTGTTGGTTTCATACCAAAGGAAAAATGGCAAGAAGGACCCCGGAAAATTACAAATCCTGAGGGCAGCGGGCTACCTGTTGAAACTGATGTACGGACTGTACACGAAGGCAATTTATTCTTGGAAAATTTATTATGGGATGTCGGGTCATTGACTTAGATTCCTTGAGCTAATTTCGAAAGAGGGAAACATTCAAGATGCTTCAGAAAATGCAAAGCAACTCCGTCCCCCGAAAAGGTCCAGAATTGGGCAGCCCCACGCGTTCCCATGCACGGTCAAGGCGTCCAGCCTTAACAAGGAAGGATATACCACCCAAGGTCCAGTGACTTTTGTCCAAACAAACCCGAAGATTCAACATCATTTGAAAGAATGATAAGCTCCTGGCAGCTAGCTCGGTCTCCCCAACCTCTGCAATGAAGTCGCAAAGATGTATCCTGAGGGCCGGTGTGGGTAGCTTTATCAGATAATCCATCCTGACCTTCTATGAAGTATTTTTTGAAACCGTGGCGCACCAGTTCAAATAGAGACCAATGATCTACATGAAGTGAAGTTATTTTTTAAAAACCTCCGATTGGGAATGGTTTTGAAAAATCCAATTAAATATACCTGGGATATCCTGGGATGACTTTAAGAAGCTGTTGTGTAGTTTGGCCATCGAGTTATTCACCAACATGGGGAAATGCTTTTGAACCGACATATAGATCTATTTGCTGACAAAGAACATCAGGGCCGGCAGGCCCATCCATAATAATAAAGCGCATTCTCTGGCTGACAGCCGGATCCCACGGGTCCTACCAGACCGGGCCATTTTTTTAATGGGCAAGGTCAACACCCTTTTCAGGAAGAAAAGCTGCAGATCAAAATCAGTTCTATATGCACGTTAACTCAACTCATCTGTTTGCAATTTCACTTATGCCGTCAAGGACACAAAGCCTTGAAGTTTGTTGTCCCCACGTATCCACCAAGTAAAGAAGGCAAATACCCACTAAATTTGACATATTATCCCAGCGTTCCAGACAAAGTTCATGGGTGTAGACGATATGTCATTTTTCCTTCCGTTTGCTCGTGTTCCGCGAATGCCCTGTGGTGTCGTGTCACACCGAAATGATCTAGTAGATCAAGAGTAAAGTTGACGCTGCTGACATACCATCGGCGCAGCAAACCAGATTTGCATGCCAGGTTCGATTGACAAAACGCACATGAAAATCATCATGAAAACATTAAATGGTTTTCAATCCCGATTGCCTGGCTTGCATTCCCCCACTGACCGCTCCAAAACCCTAAGCACCAGCATGTGGGAGGGCACACCATCCCGCCAAGTGCATGGCTTTGCCAAATGCCTCACACCATCCTTTGTGCTTTCGCACGCTCACAGTTACCCCATTCTTTTTGTTGACTCGGAAGCCAGCCAACTCAGACTTCATGTCGGACACGTATAGCTGATCCACCATCCACCTAAAACGATGCATTCAGACCAAAGATGATGACTAGATTGAATAAGCTAGCTGAGACCTTGACAGCACACCTATCGAAGATGTGCCCTCGCCACGGTTGATCGTGAAGCTCTTGGCCTTCGGCTCGAAACCCTCTGCCATGGGAATGCCAGCAAGTCGAAGCACTGGCTCCTGCCGCCAAGGGGTATGCTGGTAGTTGAAAAAATCATTTTTTTTAAGAGAGAAAGAGAAAGAGATAGAGAAAGAAAAAGAGAAAGAGAGAGAGAGAGAGAGACGCAGAGAGAGAGAGAGAGACAGAGACAGAGACAGAGACAGAGAGATAGAGAGAGAGAGAGATAGAGATAGAGAAAGAGATAGAGATAGAGAGAGAGAGAGGGGGAGAGAGAGAGAGAGAGAGACAGAGAGAGAGAGAGAGCGGGAGAGAGAGAGAGAGAGCAGGAGAGAGAGAGAGAGAGAGAGAGAAGGAGAAGGACTTCAACGAAATAAGCCATAAGCTGACAAGCTGACTGACTTGGCGGCTGTCCTTCTCTTTCCAAAGCTTCAAATCGACCGGGGTTTTCTCAGACGGTGGGTTCTCTACAGCTGGCTCAGGTGCGCCTGTTTCCTCAGGCTCATCATCTCCTTCCCCCTTGGTGCTCTCAGCTGCCTTGGCGTGTCCTTCACCCTTTGCGTCACCTGTGCTGGGGATTTCCTTTTTGTCCGCCTTCTTAGCAGTGTGTTTTGCCTTCGACTTACCATTGGTCACTTTGGTCTTTGCCTTTCCCTTCCCTCGGGGCTTCTTGGTTGCTGGCTCAGCGCTGTCTAGATCATCATCATCACCTGACCCCTCATCATCATCACCCTTTGCGCGTTTGCGAGCTTTGGCAGCAGCCCGCACCTGCGTTCAACGCGCTATATAATAGCAAAAGATATAACTCCAAGGGATTTGGTGAACTTTGTTTTGATTCGCACAAATGCTACTGAACACTGGAGCTCAGGCCTTCTGTTGAGCTGCAACCAGATCATCATCGCGAACAGCAGAGGCAAGAGTTTGGGAAAGGGATTCAACCTGGTCCTCCAAGCTACCGTCCAGCTTGATGCCAGATGGTAGCAGCGGTTGTTTCTCCTGGCTGGACAAATTAATCTTCTGAAGCAAATACGATTCCCCAAAAGAATTAGGCGATATCAACTATAAGTCCTTTTTCCCCTTTAGAGTGACCTTTTTAGGACCGAAAAAGGACACCCCACTTGAGACATATGATGAATTATTCGGCATTCATATGCATATATACGAATATACCTATATAGTCTGGATGTAGGTACTCACGTCTCAAACACGCAGTGGGTCCTTGACTGCCTGTCTGCCGGAACTCTGTGATGTCTCATTGACGTCAACCTGATGAAAAACTGCTGTGTCGCCAAAAGAATATAACCAGCTAGATTGAATTATGTCAGTAGTAGTGGGCCAACGGAGGTTTAAGACACTGGCCTCCTGAACTTTCTTGTTTGGCTTTTCTTGGCCTTCCTGCAATTGGAAGCTAAAAATAAGTAAGAGACTCTACGTCTAGCATCCCAAGCACCATTTGGCAGGTGTACCCAACAATGTCCTCGGCGTCCACCAAAGGCACCCGAGGTTCTGAACCGGAAGCGGCCTGACAGGTTGTCATGACGCAATATATGATGCCTTAAAAAATGAAAAAGCGAACTTGATTCAATGTATATTTTGATTTTGTCTGTATTGTTGTTGGATCTAAACTGTGAGCCAACCACTGCCCTGCAAGCATGTTCATATATATCCGAACTACCTACTTTACTTTGCCGCACCTTATCGGCTTTCATGTGGTCGTCCCCAGAAGAGCTCGAAAGAGTCAAATCATCAAGCTCCTGTCAATCTTTCAAATTTCAAGTTGCTTTGAATGTGCAGCCATGTTTCAAACATGGGCGCACCAGCACCTGATGTCTATGTTTATCCACGGTTAAAATACTAACATATTTTCACACCCTTGAATTTCAACAACTTCATCATTGATGTGTGGGAAACAAAACTATTTAGTGAGATGTTAACCCCCCATATGTATTTGTTTTGAGCAGCTGTCCTGATTGTTGATGGTGCTCACCCTCTCGCGCAACAGCTGCTCGATGTCACCGGCAGGTGACGCTGCCGGGGCAGTGAGCGGTTTGGGATGCTTGGAGCTGGGCCCATGTCAAAAGGGAAATGTTGACTACTGATCTTGGGAGCCTACACCATCAACCACATGTAACGCCAGATAATTTGCTTTCAAAATTCTTTTGCCACAATGACACTGACGTGTGCCAAGCCTTGTTGCAAAGCTAGATGGATGCAGCGCTTCACCTCAACGATCTTTGGGCTCCTGCGAGCAGGTGAGAAACAGGAGTTAATGCAACCAGGGAGAAATGGACACTGATTAATGATTAGTATGGTGTTCTTGGGTGCATTGGTCGCTACATTGTAAAAAAGGGATGGTGGGTCGCGTGCTGATTCAGATTGTTCAGTCAAATTGCAATATTGCCTCTCATGTTGCTACTAGCATTTTGGCAACAACCACTCAAGGCAGCAATGTTCCCACCTCGCGCCCCCTGAGCGTGATGCAAGCGTCATTGCATGCAAGCACAATGAGCGAGCATTTCCCGAAGTCACCGATGCCCAATCCTGGCCAATGTTGAAAATGCGATCCACTAAACCCACATATACGCAACACTTCGGATAGTTGAAGTATCCCACATTTGAGATGAACCGGTCCGCAACGACTTTCTTTTTGGTCTTGGCTGGGAAGACGGCATAGCGATCAGCAAGCTTTCTGAAAACCGCCTGGCTTAGTCGCAAACTTTTTAGGCTGAGGCTGAGAAAAGAATTCAGAAACAGCACTAAAGACATCATGTTTGATGACAGGAAGTTCCCCCGCCTTCCACCCTGCATGTGCCATCCACACTGGCTCCACGGCCAAAGTGGCAACTATATCCACCACAAAATCAAAATTTTGCTCGATAGTTTTTGCCGTGCAGGGTTCTACATCCCTCAAGTCAAAAAACCGTTTATGGTCATCAGCCCTGAGTTCGGGGAGGAAGTCGCCGCGGATCATGTAGCATTCCACTGCGTCCTGGCAAGAATCATCAAATTATATGTGATATGGGTGATCGGGGGCACTTAGAAAAATATATCAGTCCTGAAGCATTATCATTTGTGCCGTCGCATCGGGTAAGCCCTTCCGAGCCTTAACAAATTCACCATGAGCCCCCTGCACCCACACACAAACATACACAAGAAAAAAAGCAGGTCAAATATCATCAAGCTGTGTTGGCTTGAGGTTTGCACCATGTTTCAAGGCAGTAGCGTGAGCACTTCACACACTATATGTCTTTGGAACCAAATGAGCGGCTCGTGCACATGCAAAACTTGAAGGATCATAGCATCAAAATTCAGATGGCACACACACACACACCCTGATCAGAGCAACTACGACAAACAAAACAGTGCGAGAAAAGGAGGGGGTCGCCACCTCTCTTTCGTTTCACAGAGCTCGAGGTTGTTGATGCGTCCCCCCATCTGCCTTGAACAAAAACAAATCTTTGGAGGTCGAAGAAAGCAAAGAATCAATAAAGGAGGACAATCATAGTCAACTCTTTGATGTACCTAGCGCTAAGCACCCTGCTTATTGCAGCAGACCGCCGCATAGAAGCGGCCAAAGAGGTGAAACATGAGACAAATAGCTGCGATGGATCCAAACACCATCAAACACCCCTTTCCGATAAAATCCGACATCCGACAAACGCACAGATTCCCAATGTTGCCTTGAGAAGCTAACATTCCAATGTCAGCTTGTGGGGGCGACATTGCAATGTCATCAACTATTGCTGACATAGATTCTTTGGGATATATATTATATACATAATATTACAGAATAATTGTATTTAAATATCCATTAAGATCCAGATTTGAGGGTTAGATCGCACGATCTCCACCAACATCCCATAGCCTTTCCATCGCGCCATGTGCTTGACGCAGTGCTGAGTTGTGCAGGCATGCTTGCATACCCCTCATTTGGGACCCCAACATGAATGAATAGGTCTAATAAAAACCAGGTGGTACTGAATATATATACCTTCAGCCTCTTTAAGCAGCTTTTTTCTGGTTGTGCCAAAAAAAAACCCGGTTTTTTTCAAAAAAACAGGTTTCTCATTTTATCCAAGAATCATCATCATATTTAAACTATGTTAAACTTATATAGATCAAAGAAACAACTGCAATATGATGAAAGGAACCAGACACCTGTCCAAAACCCTGCCCTGACCACAGACAAACACACATTATTTTATCTCAAAACCCCTGCGTCCATCCAAATGTTCCATGAAGACATGAGATGTCTTTGTAGAGTTCGAAGAACAACAAGCCTCACATTGACTCTCCGCGATACGCGACTCACTCTTCCTATCGTGTCCTCATCTAATTGGCAGCTAGCAGTCAACGGATTCATTCCGTATCCGTGGGTAGCACTTTCATTTTTCAAAGTCAACCAGGTATGCTGAACAGCATGGATCTTTGGAAACAAAGGAAATAGATGTGGGCGCTGCAAATGAAAGCATTCAGTAGCAAGAGCAGTATATGTCCTCACAAAAAACGTACCCCGCTCAGAGACATAGCGACTCTCAACCCCTTCCAAAAACAGAGGTGCATTGTAGAGAAAAGTCAAAGCAGCATTCAACTGTTGGGCAGCCTCCTTGCATCTGGGAAGAAAATTGTGAGAATCAACTGCAAGATCATCGATCAATGGTATCAACCATCGCGCCAAATTTGTTGTTAATGCGCCTTTAGACCAATTCCCCGTCGCCCCTGGCCCATCACCATACGAAACCAGATAAGCAGATATTTTCGAAATATGCGAAGAAACCTTCACAGACCTGCACCACGAATGGTAATGGTTTGTAAGCCACTCGAAACGGTCTTCATTGTTTGTAGCAGGGACAACCTCCAGCGCAATCTGTAGCGTTGATGCTATGAATGATTTCCCAACTCCAAGATGTATACTGTGCCACAGGTCTGGCTGTAGGAAAGAACCAGGGTGTGACTTGGGATATGGAAGAAGCCGCACAATGTTAGGCATAGTATCCCAGGGGGCTTGCACTCCAATTGTTTGAACCCAACGCGCGCCCTCACTAGTGTCTTCAAACGGTGTGTTCTGGGTCCCTGCCAGGCACAAATGGCAGACCCCTCTAGGAGCAGTTCGTTGTCTTCCACGCTTCACAGTTGTGTTCCATGAACGTTTCAATTTCCCAACCTTTTGAAGATAGGGCATGTCACCCTTGATCCCAATCACAGCGAACCTCCAAACTTCTCCAGTCACTGGATCAGTAATCCCAGATTCCAGTAGGTCTTTCAACTCTCTGGCCAAAATGTCCATCGTTTCATGAAAGTAGTCTGGGTTGGACTGGTACTCTGTCTTTGGAAGCACTGAGACAACAAATCGAGTCAAAAATGTATGGCCTGCAAAGTTCACCTGAAGTTTTCCAGTATCATCAGATCCATGTGGACGCTTTAACCTGTTTCGATTGAAACCGAAGCCCAAAACAGACTGTAGTGAAGTGACCATCAAGCCACCCCGCTTTAGGGTCCTGCCCTCATCTCCGTGGATGTAAAGACCTATTGTTCGCTCCCAATTCAGGCCCTCCATGTAGAAAACTTCCAAATCAGAATTTAAAGGCTGATATTGGGTCCAATTTTTTTTCCACGTTGTTCCAACAAGATGTTTCTCTTCATAGTGCAAGCCTGAAAGCATATAGAGAAGGCCATGGTTTACAATGTACTGGAACCATGCTTTGGGGCTAATCCATGGTAGACGTGTGTTCTGGACATTGATCTCAGCAATTGGTATGTCCAATCGTGTGCGTTGTTGGCCTGCAACAGAATGAACATCCCGCTCACTGTTCCTGTAATTGATTTTGGCCCATTGGTGGATACCTGACTTGTTTGCAGCATCCTCCCCCATTTCTGACGACACCGCGCGAGCCGTCTCAATCTGGGAAGAGCATGAAGCCTCAGCAAGATAAGGCGCAAGGCATGTGGGGTCAAAACAAAGAAAGAGTAACAAAACAAAATGGTTTCACATTCAGTTGCTGTGCACTCAAATGGTTGGATCATCTTAACATTTCTTCAGACTTTGCCCCTACAACAACATAACGACCTGCATCCATGCAGAGTTTTTTTGTCGACGCTGTAATCTCACAAGGCAGCTGTGATAGCACAGGTGTAAATGCAAACACGCATTTATTAATGCCTGCTCACACGTTGGATTAAAGAATTGAATTGCCAGCTCCCATGATAGCTGGATGTCAGTGCATCAAAGGGGGAATTGGAGGAGGATCCTTAAAGGATCTGTAAACTATGTAGGTCAAAAACGGACCATCACCTTCGAAGTCCTTGCCACTCGAATCGCCACCAGGCAAGATATCTTGCACCCCTTCAAACCTTGGTTGACATTCAACAGGTTCACAAGAAGAAATTAGAAAGTAAAGGAGGTGCCTAAACACAATTTGTGTAATTATCAACGTCTTTGATTCCTACAAGCCTTTGACTCTTTGTCCCTGCGACCCCATGGACTGCATGGCCGGGGCACTGCGGTACTTGTCAATGAGCGCTGCTTCGAGAAAGGCTGCCCCAACAGGGCTTGGGGATGCAAAGATAATGTGCATGTGCTGGTATTTCTCAACTGAGTGGGCATATCCATAAGGTTTGTGATACCAACGAAAAACAGCGCAGTGTGTAATCCCAATCTTCCAGATCATTGGAAAGTGTTTCTGGTACAGGGCCTCGAAAGTCATGCTTGCATGTGCAAGTACCCGGCCTGCTGTGGCCTTTGCTTTAGGAAGTTTGTAGGACATGTTCTTCTGTTTTTCGATGGACAGGAACACATCAGATGTACGGCTCAACGCCTTCAGATGTTCATCTTTCAAATATGGTGGAATCTCATCTTGGTCAAAACGTTGATAAGGGGTCCGGCTTCTAAAGCGAACTTCTGGAGTAACACCAAGTTCACCAAGGAAATCACCAAAAGCGACTTCTCTAGACTCCTTTCCACGATGTGCTTCTTTTTGCCAAGCATAGGGGCCCAACGACGCCTCATTATGACCACAAGAAAAAACTATCAATAAATCGAATCA